GCGGAGCTCTCCGATGAACACGCCGACGGTCTACCATCGGAAGACGACCTCGCAGCCCGATGGCAGGCAGAGTTGGACGACGATGATGACCTACTTTTTGAAGACGAATCTGCCGGAGGAACTAAGGAGCCAAGTTCCCAAGAATTACTTGGTAGCCCTGCTCCGGTTGCTCAAGCGGGGCCCAGTCCCTTTGCCCCGCCGAACAAGTCGGTCCGACCCAGAGTGCAGGAAAGGTCTTATGTCCCACACCAGCCATCTACATCGGATCTGCTTCAGGGAATCCCCGCAATGAGCCCCGGGGCTGGCTATTTTGCTCAACAACCCCGCCCGACTGAAGGAACCAAGAAAGCCGAGAGTTTCGCCGAACGGGCCAAGGAGGGTTATAGGTCACCTTATGATCTTCCTGAGGACCTCACGCGCCCTCGTCGACCCGTCGTTACCAACAGGGCAGTTGTTTCGCAGCCGGGCGTCCCGCCGCCGCCGCCGCGAAGCAACAGCCTTCCAGTACCTCCGCTGAAAGCGCCGGGCTCAGCATCTTCCATGCCCACACCTCCGGTCGGCGCGACAATGACTGCTACTGCACCTGCACCAAAGAACTTTTTTGAGGAACTTCCTTTACCGCCGCCTCGCGCACCTTCTCGGCCGGCAAGCACGGGTCGATACACACCTGCTCCCAATCCCGTCCCAGCAGCGCCATCGTACTCAGCGCCTCCGCCACCGGTTAATCCGTATGCTAGCGCTATCCCCGCGCCTCAGCCATCTGTCGACTCTCAGCCCCAGCCTCAATTACAACAACCTGAAAGAATAGACCCCTATGCGAGTTTGTTGAGCCCAAGTGCTCCTGGCGGCGCACCTACAGCTCCTGCTGCATCGAGATATTCCCCGAAGCCACCGAATTTGCAAAATGGAATCAAGCCGCCAGCCTCCCCGAGATACTCCCCAGCTCCCCCAGCATCTGGTGCTCCCCCGCCCCCTCGCAACCGCTATGCTTCTCAGGCTCCTAGCCACACTGGTCAAGCTGTCACCCTTCCATTCCAACCCCGTACCTCAAGCCCTCTGGCTCATCATGAGAAGGTCTCCTATCGTCCCCAGGAGGTATTGGAAAAGCGACCGTCCTTAGATCATTCGGCTTTCCCTCCTACCATCGACGTGCAGTCTCATTCCGAGTCTGCCACCAACCCGCTTTTTACACCTGGCGAAACTGCTATTGAAGCCACAATTACCGGTCTTGACGTAAGCGAAGAGAAAGCGAGCATCCCGCCGGTGTCTCCCCCGAGAAAGCAATATGCTCCGCCCGAATATGTCAATGACTTCGCTCAACGGATTACCCCAGCCGGCCAAGGCGACGCTCCGCCAGTCCCTGCACCCGTGGCGGATGAGCCTCCCTTCATGCCTCCGCGTAGATCAATGACACAATCGCCAGGCCAGCAAGCACTTGGCCCTCGATTATCTGTGCCATCAGTTGACCCTTTCCAAAGACCTGCCTCAGCTCATGGCTCCGGCTCACCTACCAAATCCGTGAATCCTTACGCACCAGTCCAAGGCTCGGTACATAACCGTGCCTCCTCTAAGCAACTAGACTTCATTCCTCCGACCGATGACCAACAGTTTGACCCTCTGGAACGCTGGAAGGGGGCGCCAATAGTCAAGTTCGGTTTTGGTGGCACGGTTCTATCGTGTTTCCCTAAGCATATTCCTCGATACGCTGCTGGACAAATGGCTCCTAGAATTAAGCCAAGTCCTGGAGAGGTGAAAACATGCCAGCTCAATGACTGGATCCCGCCCCCAGAAAGCATTGTACGCCACCCAGGTCCCCTCAAGTCCAAATCCAAGAAGAAGGATTTGCTTGCTTGGCTCTCAAGCAAGATAGCCGCATTCGAGAATGAAGGTATCCCGGAGAGTGCTCGACTCCTCCCGGATGGCCACAAGCGCTACGATGAGAAGGTTCTATTGTGGAAAGTCGTTCGCGCCATGGTTGAACACGACGGTGCCCTCGAAGGCTCACCTGAGGTCCAGAAGTCCCTGCGCAGTATCATCCTTCCTCATCTACAGAGCAACGAGACAGGCGACAGCTACGACACAGGCTTCCAGCCTATCAACACCTCTCAGCCCGCCGATGCGCCTTCTCGACCGGATGCAGCTGGTTCTCAAGCTATTGGCACACTCCGGACCAATCTTCTACTTGGGGAGCGCGAAAAGGCCGTCTGGGCGGCAGTGGATAGTCGCTTGTGGGGTCACGCGATGCTTTTAGCGTCGACTATGGACCGTTCGGTCTGGAAACAGGTCGTTCAGGAATTCGTCAGACGTGAAGTCAGATCGACTTCTGGAAACACCGAATCCTTGGCAGCTCTGTACGAGATTTTTGCCGGCAACGTCGAGGAGAGCGTTGATGAGCTGGTGCCGCCATCGGCAAGGGCTGGCTTGCAAATGGTCAGTAAAGTGGATGGACATGGTTCTGTCAGAAACGCGCTCGAAGGCCTGGAAAGTTGGCGCGAGACACTCGGCCTCGTACTCAGCAACCGCAGTGCAGAGGATCACCAAGCTCTCCTGGCCCTTGGACGGCTGCTCTCCAGCTATGGCCGCGTCGAGGCTGCGCACATCTGTTTTCTTTTCTCACGAGCTGCAGTGTTCGGGGGCGTTGATGATTCTCAAACGAGTATTGTCCTCTTGGGAGCTGATCATCAGCGATCTTCCACCTCTGCACTGCAGGACGAAGACTGTATATTGCTCACCGAGGCCTATGACTATGCCAGTTCCGTCCTCTCGGCCTCCCCGAAGCCGCCACTCTGTCATCTCTTGGCTTACAAGTTGGTATATGCTTGGTGTCTCGCCGATCGTGGCCAAAAGACAGAAGCTCAGCAGTACTGTGATGCTATTGCAGCCACCGTGAAAGCGACGACCAAATCCTCGCCTTATCATAACCAGCAGCTGTACTATGGAGTTGACGAGCTTTCAGCAAGATTGAAGCAGTCAGCTAGCGACGGTGGCTCGTCCTGGATTTCAAGGCCCAGCATGGAGAAGGTTTCTGGCTCAATGTGGGCCAAGTTCAATAGCTTCGTTGCCGGAGAAGACCACGATACCACATCTACCGACCCTGCAAAGGGTGGCGAGGCAGATATAGGTCCATTTGCTAAGTTAGCTGGTACGCCTACTGTGAGTCGCTCGCCTTCCGTATCAGATATCTACGGAGGGCAACCGAGTCATGGCGCTGCTCCTTCGCGTTATTTACCAAACAACCAATACGCCCCGACTTCCTCACCCGAGCAGTTCCGCGGTAGATCGTCTCTTGACTCTCAGAGATCGTCTTCCTACAATTTTGGTCTCACACAGCGACGGGGCTCGCAGGACCCTTCGACGCCGGTTGACAATGGCCCATACCAAGGGGGGATGTTCTATAACTCGCCACCATCAAACGCAGGCTATCAGCAAACACCACCTCAAACTTCGTATATTCCTCTGGCACCTGTCGAGGAAGATTTGGTCTCTCAGCCCCAGGCTAAGGTTCCGTTTGCTCCGGGACCTGGGTCCCCTAATATGGTCTCTCCCTACCAACCTCCTGGATATGGATCCTTCGGCCAGCTGCTCCATGAGACTCCTTCCACCGTCTCTCATGCCGACGAGGGTGGCTACATGCCTCCGGTGGGCGGTGGCGGCTATGAGCCTCCCGCAGTTACCAGCGCCGCCCCTGAGTCGGAAATGCCCGAGGAACAAGACAACGAAGAGCCGGCTAAGAAGAAGAAGTCATTCATGGATGACGATGACGACGATGATCTAGCTGCCCGGGCTGCTGCAGTCCAGAAAGCGGAAAAGGCACGCAAGGACCGCGAAGCAGATGAAGCCTTCCGAAAGGCCGCAGAGGCTGATGGTAAGTGACACTACAGCTCGATATCTCTTTTCATTCGCTGGACTAACATTGGTGCCTTAGCCAAACGAGCTTCGCCTACGAAGAAGGGATGGTTTGGTGGCTGGTTTGGTGGGAAGAAAGAAGGCGAGAATCCCGGTGGTGGCCCGATTCGAGCCAAGCTTGGCGAAGAGAGTTCCTTCTATTACGATACTGAGCTGAAGAAATGGGTCAACAAGAAAGATCCGAACAGCGCGACTGCAGCTCGTGCCACGCCGCCACCCCCACGTGGATCCGCGCCTCCCAGCCGGACAGCCAGCGGTAACATCGGTGCGCCGCCACCACCTGCAACGACTGCATCTCCGGTGCTGTCCGGGGCCGGTAGCCGCCCTCCATCTGCTGCAGGTGCCCCTCCTCCGCCCCTTTCTGGCAGCCCCGCCCCGCCATCCGCTTTAGGCGCTGCGCCTCCGATCCCACGGTCCATCTCGACTGGCGCCGCAGTTCCTACACCGCCGAGTGCTGGTCTCGCCGCTCCTCCCCGGCCGGCGACCTCGTTGAGCAATGCTAGCTCCATCGACGACCTGCTTGGGGCGCCGCAGGCACGCAAAGGCCCTGCCGCCAAGGGCAAGAAGAAGGGTCGCTACGTCGATGTCATGGCGAAATGATTGACCTGTTCCTTCTCCGCCTCCCAATCCACTCGGGATCAATGCCTTGGTGGTTTATATTATGTACCCCTAATACCTCTTTTTTTTTTTATCCTTTCTTATAATGTCTAACGATTCCTCTTTGTCGGAACCCCCAGGTTATATAACATGTTATCGTGGGGGCGTGTCCTGGCTTTGTCTAGGGAGAGTTCATCGGTTTGATTTGACGTTTGCTCAGCAAAAAGCGTTGCATGCCGTCTGACTTACTGTTGAGAGTACTCACAAGATGGGGGCTTTCCATTCTTGGCCGGGCGGTCTTTCCTTTGCATGACTGGTTAATCTTCGTGTATATTACATGTGTGCACATATTGAACTTCCGTTTTTCTACTATATGGTCATTTCATCGCTTGACCTTAGCTATGAATGAGTATTGAGGATGATGCTTGTTCCGAGTATGTGCCTAGCATTTTTCTCCGAGACCTTTGTTGCTGCCAATGTACCATGGATTCTAGCATGGGGCTGGAAATTGTGCAATTAAACCGACCGATCTATACGCGTAGGAAACAATGATATGCTTTATAGTACAGAGCAGGTATAACTAAAGCATGATATAAAGATTCAAAGGAGATTCGTGAAGCAAGAATGTCGTGATATAGATCCGTGTTCAAATGAGGAGATCAAGCCGCGTATGAATTGATGTAGTACTACAGACGACATGAGTTAGCGACGCGCCAGTGTCATCGGTTGTCTGGTGTTCAGCATCCTTACCGTGAGACACGAGTCCTCTTCATTAAATGTCCCCGGGAGATAGACATAGAGAATCAAGGCCGTCTCGTGGACGAAAGCTAGCACACATAACCATGAGCACAGCCTCTCTTATTGAATCAATGGGAGAGGCGGTCCGGCGGAACTCAGGCCCAACCATAAAAGTCAAAACAAGAGAGGAAAGAAAAGGGGGGGGAAGGGGCAAGGGGCGAACGCACAAGCAACCACCCTCGGACTCAACCTCCCCACACTCAACACCTTGCCCCAGTCGCGCCCATCGATCCGCACGCGCGCCCACCCGGCCTCATCGTCCCCGGGCACCGCGCGCATCCGCTCGCTCGGCAACCGCTCCATCTCGCCCTGGGACAGCTGGCCCGGGTCCAGCGAGGGGTTGACGAGGCCGGACCACACGCTCGAGATGCGCAGGGCGTCCGTGGCGATCGCCAGGCGGAGGGAGCCGTGCATGTTGGCGGACAGCTCGAGTTTCGGGGCGGCGGCGGACGCGCCCGTTGCGGTGGGCTTCGTGGCGGCATCCGACGCGGCGGACGCAAAGCCGTGGCCCGGCGAGGCGAGCTTGGTGAACCGCTCCGAGATGCTCTTCAGTTGGCCCAGGCTCGGGAGGATGATGTGCACGTCCGGGTCGCGGCAGCGCGGCTCGTGGAGGCCCTCGACGGCGGACTCGTGGAAGACCTTCACGGGGATTTCTTGCGTGATCACGGTTTCGCGTTCGCGGCCGGGCCGGGCGGGGCCGGTTGTTGTGTCGGTCGTGGTGGTGGTGGATGACGGGGGCGCATGGGTCGGGCCGTTGGTGATAGTAGGAGGGTCATTGCTGCTACTACCGCTGCCCGGACCAGTTCCAGTTCCTGGTGCTGGTGCTGGTGCTGGTGCTGGTGCGGCGGTGATGCCCAGTGCGTTGGACCCGGGCGCCCAGGAGAGCGTGCGGATGGTCAGTGCCAGGAGCGGGATGCGGCCCTTCTGGGTGAGGCGGAGTTGGGCGGATTTGGCGTCGACGGCGGAGCGGAGGGCTCGGTGGAGAGCGCCGATCGGCACTTCGAGGTTGATGATTCCGCCTGAGTTGGATTCGAGGATGTAGCTCGATTCGTCGAAGATTGCGTCCTGGGGATGTCCTGGTTAGATTGGTTCTAAAGATGAGATGAATACTAGGTATCAACGGTGCATTTTGTGGAGGGGAAGGCTTGGTTCGGGGCGTACAATTGGTAACTGTGCCCATACTTGGGTGCCTTGGTCGGGGATGATGGTGAAGCGGATGTTGCCTGGCTCCAGGCGCATCCAGCAGGTCTTGCCCAGGGATGAGAGGGAGGCGGTTAGTTCTGTGAAGTTGGTACGTGGTGTTAGCTATAATCTATGGGCCTCATGATTGCGAAGGGTCAGTTGGTTGGTGGTTTGGTCTAGGCCTTCAGAGCTTTAAGGCTACCTTAAGGCTACCAAAACGCGGTAGATGGAGCAGCACGCGACAGAGGCAATGAACGTACTGGAGAAAGTCTCCGCGTTGGTGAGTTTCGTTCGAAAACGCATGTTGTATTATTGCATGTTTCTGAATAGCAGGTGGGATTATTGTACAGACACAATTAGTTGATGTTGAGCGCAAGGAGTGTTGATTGAATGCAACGATGCTATGGTGGTTGGTAGCTTGACGGTGAAGCTCGGCCGATCGGTGCGGGGAACCCGTGAGGAGCAAACAGCGCAAACTTGTCCACCAATCTACAGGTTTAGAGTATGACATGGACAGCCTTCATTCTTCTTCTCATGATCTCCGCGCTTTCTGAAACATGTCACAGACTCCTCTGAATGAATGTCTCGCCTTTTACTTGGTCATCGGTAATTGAAAATAGAATCGACGACTATCTCGCCTATCAGAGCGGCGACCGCCACTTACACCGATCCTTCTAGCCAGCTGTCCGGCTTAGGACGTGGCGCCTTGCAAGTTCCTCCATGACAAAACATGATACATCCCTACTCCTCATAGGGATCCCGGCAGAGATCACCCACGTGGCTGGCGGCACAATGGCCCTGTTCATCAGATGGGGCGAGAAGCCCCATGCCTTTTTCTAGGCCGGGGGTCCTTGTTACTTCCCTTACAGACCTCAGCTCCTCGGCTTACAGAGGCATTCGGCCTTGCTGGTATACTTCAGGGATGCTTTACTGGATGTACCCTTCCTGCACTCCTTCGCAAAGGGCAGGACATCTCGATTGGGCATCCCTTTCATCAAGGGTTCACAATCCCTGGTCTGGGAGTGGAGGGAAGCGAGCATACGCCTTGTCGCGACGAATCCTTCTTACTGTCCTGCAGTGTGGGAGCCTCCAATATCATCCTACTCATTAATTAACTTTCTTCGAACTAGCTAGTGTCTTTCTTTGCGAAGATACTCCCGTAGCAAGCGCAACCTCGCTGATCGGAAGCCAGCAATTGCCTACTCGGGCTATTGATCATAACACTTCTCTGGTCGCGAACACGGTAGAGTTTTGATGGACATGCAAGAGATGTCGAAGTAATCTCCAATGCAGTCCATCGATAGCAGTCAAAACCCCCAAGAGACTTTCATAACTCGAAACCATATAACACCCAGGGCAAAAGAGCTAGAACGGTCGCAGATCTGGGACATGATATGCAAGGGGGTGTCGATCACCGATCTACTCTCCGACGGCTGCTCTTCACCCCCAAATGGCCCGAGAGAGCCGACAAGGGCAGCTTGTGAACAGTCGGAACACATTGTGGAGGAGACATTGTCTCGCACAACCTCTTTGATTATACTCTAGATTGATTGTGCACAGGCTTCCATGCATTGGGAGGGCTCCGGAAAGGGGAAAGAAATAGTGTTGTCCGCCAGGTTCCGAAGGTGGATTGCTGCTTACTCACTGCATGGAGATGGGACTCGTGTGCGCAGAGACAGCAGTCATGTTGATTGCACAGGAAATTTACGGAGTGCCGGAGACTGTATGTCGTACAGGATGGTGTGCATTTGTTGTTGACAGATCCTATCCGACATAAAAAAAAAAGGGGGGGATGTTTTGTTAAATGGAGGAGGTTGGAGTGGAGGAAAGGAGAAACAGTATGGAGAAGTAGGTAGATAGATACCGTAGACCCTAGACACACAAATATTAAGAATGGAGCTGTATTCTACGGCGAGTCTAGGGCTTTTCTGGACGAGATATTTTTATTACATTAGTAATAATAGGGCAGATTTATGCCGGCCTGAGTCAATGGGAGTTGAGTGGCAGAGTGGCAGAGTGGCAGAGGCACTGAGGCAGTGACAGTGAAGCCCCATCGGAATCCACGAGAATAAATAACCATCATTTTGCCCCTATTAATCCTGACGCGGCTCCACTACCAGCATTCCCGTGTGTCGCGCAGCCAGCTAAGACTAGCTTCACTCACTAATTGACGAGCTCCCCTCGAACCGCGCGACTCCGTTCTCTCTTTTCCCCCCCGTTCCACCCACCCAGGCCAACACTCATTCTAACCAACTCACCACTGCATAACTCGCCCCCCTCCCTCCCCGATCTTCGAATCATCGTTGCCACTCCAGTCATTCTCTTGAGTCAAGAGCTGGTCTCCTGAGATCGATCATCATCATCATCATCATCATCATCATCATTATTATCCAACTCTCGTTATCACTGTGCTTCCTGCAGCCGCCCAACTCTCCCTAACTTCCCTCTAAGCCTGTTTTTGGGCCTTGCAGTGTGATCTATCACCACCACTAACCATCACTATCACTAAGCATCTCCCCATAGCTCTGCCTCTCTCTCTCTCCCTCTCTCGTCCCAGATCTCACTCTCCCCTCTCGTACCTCTTCATTAATTTCCGCCCGATCTTAACCTTTCCTCTGGCCCTCATACATTCTTTCCACCATTGGTTGCATTATCAAACTGTGTCGGCCTGATTCGGACTTTAATTCCTTCATTTCACCTCCGCATCCTCCCGTCTATTACGACATCTCGAACTCATCTCGAACCTCGAACCAAAAAAACTCGACCTCCTTCCCCTCCTCTTCTATAGACTTTGGCGGGATCGCGTCAGCATGCTTGCTCTTCAGCTATATTCTCTCTCTTCGACCTTCGACATTGCGACCCGACCTCCATCACTTAAACCTCACTACTGATCTTGTGCGACAACTCCGATCTGGTCCTCTACCGGCGACTGCCGTCCTCTTCCGACATGGCCAGTAGTCGCGTCGCCCCCCTTCCCTCGCCAATCTACCACCGCAACCCACCGCGATCTCGATCTCCGAACCGACCGATCCCCGATTATGAACATACCGATCCCCTCCTCGGGAGTCTTTCACCCGAGTCGACTCTCCAAGCGCTCACCTCCACCAATGCCGTCCCCAAAAACGAACGAGTCGCCCATGATATCCTGTCCAGAAGTATCGCTCAGGTCTCCCCAGCGGAAAGAGCCCTCGCAATTCGCGCAGCTGTTGTCGCCCAGAAATTGAACCGGTGGTACAAGGAAATCCAGTCATGGAATTGGCCGAAACAGACGGGGGATGAGAAGGGATTGGGCTTCATCCCTCCGTCCGATGCGACCGACGAGGAATACTACGGTAGCCTGCCCGCCGCCGTGGTAGAGGAACACGAGAAGCGCATTGAGGAAATCCGAGATGAAATGGACGTGCTAGATATGGACGAGCTCAAAGAGCACGTTCTCAATGCCCACATTCCGGCCCGGTCTCGGCCCTCGTCGGCCAACAGTAGCTTATCCGTCCCTCCTCAACTGTCCTACGTCCAATTGAGCGATTTCACTGCCGTCATCACTGCCACGATTCTCCGAGCTCTGCCTCTTCTATCGCGCCTCATGACTTTGCTTTCGATTTGGGACGTTCGTCTCTTGGTTCTGCGACAGATTCCTGTTTTGCTTCGCAGCTTGCGCCTCGCCCGCTCTGAGTTGGAGGCTGCCTTGGACCTCTTAAAGTCTTCCGATCCTCCTGGCGAGAAGGACCCGTTGTTTTCCCGTTCCAACTATCATGAGAAGCGCTCTCAATTGGAAGCCACGGTTGTGTCTGCTGGTCGAAGATTGGATTGCGTGCTTGACGCTTTGGACGAGTGCGAAGATTCTATTCCCGACAGCTGGATCGATGACCTTGAAGGTATCGAATCAGAGTTTGGCTCTTGGACCATGCAAGCAGAACAACGTACCGTTGAGAACGAGTGGCAGCGCATGACGTTTCTTTCGAAGACCAGCGTCAACCTCGACATAGAAAACGACGTGTCCAAACAATTGTCTAGTGATTCTTCTCGCGACGAGGACCATTCTCACAACTCGTCTGCTCCCGTTGTACAGACATCTCACACTTTCCCTATGGAAACCATCGACGAAGAAGAACTCTATACTCCTGTCGAGGCCGCGCCTCCTTATCAGGCAACGAACTGCCAGGAAGATACGAGTTTACCATCGGACATCGAAGCGGCTCCCTCGAGCCTGGACCGTACGGCTTCACCTGCGCTTTCGGAAGCGACCAACATCCCCGCTGAGCTTGTTTCTAGCAATGCGACCCCCAACGTTTCCCAAACTTCCATTGATTCAACATCTCGTCCCGTCACACTTGCCTCTTCTACGACTAGCGTCGAACAGGAGGAGGATGCTCATGCGTTTGGAACACAACTACCTACCTCTCCTGATGCGATGGGCTCGGATGCAAAGCCCTGCATGCGAAGTCCCAAAAACCCCCTTGGCAACGAAATGCCTTATAATGAAGCAATTCGCGCTCAAGATACATCCGACCGTCTTGATGTACAGCCGGTCAATCCTGGTACGGAAGGGCAAAAATCTCTAGCTTGCGAGGAGGTTCCTTCGGTTCAAGAAATCCAATCATACAAAAAGGAAGCCGAGTGTGTCTCAGAGGAACCGGAGGAGCTTCGACCAACCATCGAACCAGATATGCCTTCGGCTGCAGAAGAGATCGGCCATCCATGCCCCGCGCATAAATCTCCTTGTCTTACTCTTCCGGAAGATAGTCTGCAGCCACCGAGCAGCCCGCAGACAGACACTGGGAGCGTAATCATACGGCGGCCCAATGATTTATCCATGTCCCCCCATGTGCAACGGGTAAACAGCCCCAGAATTGAAGAGGACTCTTCGCCTTATACCACAAACTTGAAAACCTATGATCAAAACTGTGAAAATCTACCGCCGTCATCGGATCTGGATGAAGAACCCGCATCGACCAATCAGATTGGCCAGAACGACTTAGCCGAGGTCCCGACAACAAAGCCACCCAGTCGTACAAACTCGATTCCCGCCTTCAGCTCTGATTCCCCCGGTACTTCAGCGAAGTCGGTAGTTGCAAGCAGCGACGAAGAGCTCCCACTCCGGACTTCGTCTCTGAAGCTGAAGGAAGCTACGGACGACCCGACTCCCAAAAAGCCTCTTGAAAGTCCGATCAAATTGTCCAAGACTCGACCAGGTCCTCTGATATTTGAGACAGAGCACGCAGACTCTCGCCACAGGCGCAGGTCGATTGCTTCTTCTATCTCGGACTATCCTTCGCTTGTATCAAGCCCGGAGAGGCGTGGACCGCACGAATCCTCATCTAACGGAACTCCTTTGCTTCTTGAAACTCCCCCACCCTTCCAGGCCGGCTACCAGTCATCTGATCCTGTAGCACCCGGCAGCGACCATACGCTACGAGAAGACCGCCTCTTTCGCCTTGACAGTCAGAAGGCTTCTCCGCATACGGATTTCGCTCACAACCGAAATCTCAGTCTTCCCTTGCAGCGCTTCATTAATGAAAGGTTAGAGTTAACCTTTGGAGACGAGAGCAGCAGGGAACCTGAAGGCACCGCAACTACCGATAGGCCCAAGGAACTATTTCCCAGCTTACACTCTGGCCCGAAGAAATCCTCTTCAACGCCTCAAGCTGCTGCTTCTTCGACCTCGACCAAAAATGCGCGACGTTCTGCCACTCAGTCACCCGAGGTCACTCGTGAAGGGAACCCCAAACAGGGGACAGATGGCATCGCAAAGACACTGCGCGAAGCCTGGGAGCATACTAAGAACGCTAGCCCATCAGCATCGGTCCCCAAGGCCCCGGCAGCGCCCCTAGAACATTCAAACACAATGCGTTTGAAGAGACAATTGACCTCACATCCTAGTCTTGAAAGCATCGGAGCATACCGATCGGAAGCTCGATCTAACGACGACGCTTCATCCATTCCAGCCTTCCTCAAGACTGCGTCGCGGGCGTCAACCCCAACCCCTCAGATGAGAAAGCCCAAGGACCATTTGGATGAAAAGATCTCCTCTATCCTGACTGCCCTCGATGCGCAGATTCACCTAGTGTCTGCGGACGCCCATGAGCACGATGGACATTCGACATCATCATACCCATTGAAACAAAGGGAGCGCTTTCGCTCGGTCTCTCCTCAGGGCTCGCCAGCTCGTAGTGGCACACCTACTCCGTCATTGACCATCACCCCCGCCGTTTCCCGCCGGCGCTATTCCCATGCACACGCTCCAGAGGAGAGCTCCGTGAAGCTCTACCATCTGCACCGGGGTGGCAAGTCTGCCCCCACCAAGCTGTTCGTCCGGTCAGTGGGCGAAAACGGCGAGCGCGTCATGGTTCGTGTTGGTGGAGGATGGGCAGATCTCGCAGAGTACCTGAGAGAATTTGCCGTTCATCACGGACGCCGACATGTTTCAGACACGCCCCTGGTTGAGGTCCAGGGGCTTTCCCGCACCTCGCCTCCGTCTCCACCTAGAAATAGATTGGCACCCACTGCCAGCGGACGGAGAACCCCGTCACGACCGCCTTCAGTCCTCAGTAACCGGCCAGGGTCATCATTAGCTGTCCGCAAAACCCGACGGACCTCCAACGTGTCGGATATGACCGAGTTCCGCTCTTCCAACCCTGGCGACGTACTGAGTACTTCGTATTCACCCATGTCAACCGTCTCCTCGCGACGGCGACTGTCAACGTCGTCCAACGCCTCGATGGGCGCGTCCTCAGCAAGCGAGTTCCGGCATGGGTCTTCGTATTCCCCCACGAACACCGCCGCAGGCAGTGTTAACCACACGGTTCCCCTCGGTCTCGCAGGGCCGCGTCCCAGGCACGTCTCGATCAGCGCCGAGAGCGAGGCATGGGTGGAAGACGTGCTCGGACAAGCTCGAAGGAGCTCATCCCTGCGCCCTTACACCTACGGCCTCGCGCCCCAGGAGCCGGAGCCCGCTCCCGAAAAGGCGCCCCCTCCTCCCGTGATCTCGAAATCCCGGAGTATCAGCGACCTGGGAACCGTCGGCTCCAGCCGACGCATCGCTCTGCGCGGACTTGGAAGACGTTAAACCGTTGCAAAGTTCACATTCATTCATCTCCTCACAACCTCGACCTCCGAAACCCACCTTGCCTCCTCTCCTTCCCTCTCTTTTGATTATCTGCTCTGTTTACTAGCACTGGCGTTGGCCGTTCATTACCCCGGGGTTTCTTGCATGTTGAATTCGGTTTCGTCTCGTCACCAAAGAGACAGGTAGGTGCATACAAAAAGTGGTTTTGTGCGCAGCAAGCATTTTTTTGGCCTCCATCATTTTTCCCCCAATGTCTTGATTTGCATTTGCATTGGCTAGGCGAACAGGTCTTTTACTTCCATCTTTTTTTTTTGGTGTCTTATCAAGACACGACAGCCTTTCATGTGACCTTGACATCGCCCATGTTCAACCTGGTGCATCAGCGGGGGTTCACTTTCTACTTTCAATTCGTGTGATTTACTTATATCTATTCACCCATTTTACTTTTCCCCTCGAGGATATCGGGGATCAATTCTATCTTCGGGTGGGCGGGTAGGTCCTGGTTGACCTGTCTGTCTGTCTGCCTGCCTGCCTGCCTGTTTTTCCAGCCTAGTGCCGGTATGTGATGCGAAGACCTAGTGTTCAAATATGATGCTGAGATCCAATGTTCAAATCAAATCAATAAATCTCAAATCAATATTGAATCGATGAATTCTACTACTCTGGTTGTAGACGGCTTGATAGACACCAAAGCTAGCTAGCTAGGCTCTTCTAGTCATACCCATCAGGGTTTAACACTAGAGTAAACTCAGGATAGGACAGTCAATGCCTCTACACATACAAGAATGACATCCCTTGCCCTAGGGACGGAAACCAAAAAAAAAAAAGAGAAAAGACCGCGTTCTTCCTACGCTTGCAGCCACGATGGCACCGAACATCAAGACAAAGAGGCAACCAGTGTACTTACTGGCGGCGGTGGATCTTCTTCTGGGTTTCTTGGATTCCATACTTCTGAACTTGGATCAATGATATCGCTATTGAAGATATCATACCCGTCATCTTAAGACAACCACTGCTGCTTAAGGGGAGACAAGCTGCATTCACTCTGTCTTCCAACCCCAATTCTACGTGGAGGAATGGACAGCACATATAAAAATCATCCAAGTATATATGTATATAACACAACCAAGAAAGGAAAAGGAATCATTCACTTGCAAAAGAGTGTATCCCATGCTCAAAATCAGCACTGCCCCAAAGAAAAACACAAACGGTCTCGCTAAGTAAGAAGAAAAGGATCACGGGTCTGACTGTATCAAACCCACTCGAGAACATACATGAACGCCTCACCCAAGTATCCCGTCAGCAAGAGGCCCTGGGCATACTCGATGAGTTCGTGGCTGGGCAGGTCGAGGGCCTGGAACCGCTCTTTCTCGCCGGCGCTGCCGCGCACCCGCACCCGCTTGTCGATGACGGAGCGGAGCATTTCCTTGCCTGGAGTGACCAGAACGTAACGCGCTTCTTCTTGCGCGTTTTGGGTGGTGTCCGCGTCGGAGGTTGGAGGGACGTAGATGATGGATTCTTGGCGCTCGGGGGATATCCAATTGACACCCCCGGTGGATTTGCTGGAGAGGGGAGCGGTGTTGCCGGGGTGAGACTTGTGGCTGGATGAGGGTGGGAGGGCGTCAAGAATGGTGTAGCGGATGTCAGTATCAAGAGAAAAGAGGATGATGGTGTTGGCCCTGGAGTTGAGTTTCATGCGGAAGGTGGTGAAGTTGCGCGGATCCAGGTAGAAAGTGAAGCTTGCAGTGATGTTGACGGGCTTGGTGCTGTCGAGACTGCGGATCTTCGCGAGAGCCTGGTCGCGCGTCGAGACGGGACATTTGGGCTTGACGGCTAGAGATTTAGATTCGCGCAGCGACACGGAGGGGACGCAGAGTGGTAGGTGAGCGTCAATGCCAGATTTGTGGCAGGATTCGCTGCAGAAGCGAAAGATTCTGCACGCTGGAGTCGAGATTTAGCTTTGCTACTTCTTGAATTGCAGATGTGGATGACACTTACTTTTGCATAGTACAGTCGTGGGATCGCCGCAGTTCTCACACGCTGCCGGCTCATGCAAACTCCATTCTTTTCGTTCCGCTGCGAGAGTATCGCGCCGTCGGTTGAGTTCCGAGATCCTCTTTTCCGCGTAAGTTATGCGCTTCCGAGCGTGATGGTCTTCGGGTGTTCTGCTAGCCATGTGTACGAGCTGTTTGTATGCGAGAATGGCTTTGTCCACCGAGTCGAGGTGTTCCCAAGAAACGCAAAGCGCGCTCAGAGCATCGAATGTCTCCGGGGCTTCAGGACCTTTGGCAGCGAGAAAATCTTCGACCAGAGCCTCGAACAAATTGGCCGCATCGCGATTCAGGCCGGCGTCCATGTATGACCTCCCCAAACGATGGACAACTCTCAGTGCGTCCTGATCACGCGAGCGTTGATAATAATCGAGGATCTCCTTGATCTCGATAGGGAAATCGAAGTTGTCGGAGCTTTGGAGATACCGCACTACTGCCTCCCTGGTGATGGGGCTCACGATACCAAAGAATGATTTGCAGTGAGGAATGGTCCGCCCGCAAATCGTCCGAGCCTCTTTGTTCAGGCCAAGCTTTTGGTACAAGTGCGATAGTTGATTCATTGCGTTCAAAGTTGTTGCGTTCTGGAGGCCAAAGACAGTGTCAAGCGCCGGAACCGCCTTCTCGAGTAGAAGAAGGGCAGATTCGAGATCGCCCAAGTGCACTTTCAGAGAGGCAAGATCCTGCATGCTACTCAATGTGTCCGGGGCGTTGTGCCCGAGTGTCTTCAGCCGACCTGCGAACGATCGCTCGTATAAAGCGGACGCCTCTGTAGCATATCCGTCCCTTTCGCAAAGGGCTCCTAGATCATGTAGAAGCGCGAAGTTCTTGGGGTGATCGCGTCCGTACGTACGTTTGTAAAGTCCCAGGGCCTCAAGATAGCATGCCTCGGACTCTGCAGCCATATCCAGGCCGTGATAAGCTTGGCCCAAAGCATGCAACATTGTCGCCCGCGATTGTTTGTCAATGTCCAGGACCGGCGCATCTTCGAGAAGTTTCAAAGCATCATGGTATTCAACTACTGCTGCTTGTCCGTTCCCTTGCTTTAACGCGCTCTCGGCTCGCATCCTGGTGGTTAGCATACGGGACCAAGAGTTTGCGGAAGATAGCTCCTCTTTGATATGTAAGAAGACCTGCGCAACCTCGTCGATCTTGATGATACGCTGGCGGCCAGAAGCATCATGGACGACAGCTCCACCGTTGATATACTGAGTATGGATGAAAACATTCTGAGAGTTCCGCAGTAAGGCAATATACTCAGCATCTGCGGCGGATTCGTGTTTCGGCTCCGTGGTCTCGTGCGTGCGTGCATCTATCGAGTCTCTCTCACTTGTACGCGCTGTCGCTCGGCTTGTTGCTCGGCTTTCGCTCCGAGTGTACTTGGTGACAAACGAGAAACGTATCGTATTTGCTCTTCTGATTATGTTCTTGCCACGGCTGCTGGCGGACCGTGCTCTTGACACTCCTATGGACCGTCAGAACTCAACGTGAATCATGGACGTTTGCGTACAAACCCTTTGGCACTTTTCGTCCAAACAATCTCTGCAAGAAGGACTGCCTTCGAGATGATTTAGGCTGTGCTTTTTGATCATTCGTATCATCCATCAGTCCATCTTCATTCGAAGTATGCCGGTCTTCGTCTTCACACATTATATTCCTTGGTTCATTGAATAAAGCGTCATTCAGTCCTGGATACAAAGTTAGATTATGCATTGACACCTGATTTCCGTATCATGTGGATGTACCATTTGAATCAAAGCTCATTGTTGACTGATTCAATTGACTTTCGTTATTGTTTTCTATTTGGTGGTATATGCCATTCGGCGCGTGAACTGCTTTATTAGTGGTAGCTCGAACCCACAGCTCAAAGGGTTCTTACCTCGTTCTAAATCATATAACCCGGCAAAGCTGATAGCAATCAGCTCATCTTCATCACTCTGTGACATTTCTAATTCGAGTCAGCAAACGAGGCCCGTAACAACCGGGCGGAGGCAAGGCCAACAGACTTCGAAATGACCATGAATCTCGTAACTTCCTCGCTTTTCTGGTAAAGGACTGCTGATCCATATTAGTTCCCGGGGGAACCGGGAACTTCGATCCCATTGCTGGTCTCTGAGCTATACTGGGACTTCGACTGTGGCAGACATTCCCTATTTCTCTCTGTATGTCGCGTGGACTGGTGTCGTCGCGGGGATCGTTTAATATAGGTTGATACCTAGCACTGGAGTGAGCACTTGATATAAGACGTCCAAACGCAAGGCCTAAGGCATAACTTACGAGACATTGCATTTCTCTCCGCAATGTTTGCAATTGACATAGAGAGGCACATCTGCGACAGCATGTCAGTTGCCTTTCCATCTGACGACAGCATGGATCCATACTAGGATGACGATCTGGCTTCTCATCCTCTTCCCCAAAGGTGAAGATTCTATCACAATAGTCGCAGAAGAACCGAATCGGGCGACAGTTGACTGGTATTAGACGCTTCTCCATACGATAGCCTTTGGTGATTAATCTAGAACGGAATGCGCGATCAGTATACCGGTATCCGGAAGAGACGGGATGCAGGGAACAATACCGATCTCGAGTCATCACGTATACCGCGACTGCGGTGCCGGGACAGTATTTCGTCAAATAGTGCTGTTTGAGTTCGTTGCTGTATGCCAGTCAGAGCCCGTCCATTTACCACTCGAAAAAGGCAGTCAGTCGTACGGTGAGGAGAATATCGCATCACAGTCGGGACATTCAATATCCGCAGCACCGAATCTGTCTCCATCGTCATCGTGAAAAGGCGGGAATAAATGTAAAACTTTCTTAAAGTTCTCCACCCCTGCTTGTACATCATCGGTCGACTCTGCTGAGGTTGAGATTAGGTTAGTTGCGATTAGAATCCAGACAGTCCGTCATGCAATGTAGGTATCCGAGGGCAAAAGCGCACCATTTGTGGATCTGCCAGCCAACGATAAGAGGACGTCCGAGCCTCTCAGTATGCGGGTCTTGGTGTGGAATAGTCTGCTGGGGTCGCCGTGGGTAGAATTGCCGAGGATGATCTCTTTCTCGTACTGCCGCTTCGCATCCGTGGGTGATAGTTGCTGGTCGATGACGTTGCTGACCGACCATCAGCGAGCTGCAGCAGGGATCCAGGGTGTGCGTTCTCACCTATGCACCGTGTTTGTGTAGGAAGCATAATCTACAGCCATCTTGAGGGCAAGAGGAGAGGGAGGGGTACAGACAAAGGAGGAAGGACGTGAGGGTTCGACAAAAAGACACAACAGAGACAGACAGGTAGCGTCGAGGAATGACGACTGTTTCGAGTGTCAAGTAGACAAAGTTTGAAAGAGAAAGGCAAGCGTCAGGGCCAGAGTGGGTGAGGCGTCATTTTCAATGAACTGGAAGGCCGAAGGTTTTGGCGCGTGCATACATGCTCCATGCATACATATGCAGGTCAAACTCGGTGGATTCGTCCTTCCTTCCCACGGTAAACGGTAGTGCCGCATACTTGGGTGGTTTCAAGGAGGAACTGGGGGAGGAGAGGGGGGGAAGAGAGAGGGTCGCCTCTAGCGTGGTCGGGACTCATCATCCCTCGCATGGGTCGTGTGGAAACGAAGTTTCAAGCGGGCTGAATGAAGGTGGATGCAGTGGTTGTGTTCGGTTGTTTTGGTGGTGATGGTGGTAGTAGTAGTAGTGGTGGTGGTGGGGAAAGAAAGAAGAGGGAGGGAGGGAAGAGAGGGGGGGTCGGTCTCCTTCTTGCTTCACCATCCCACGTCACTTCACTTGTTGCTTTTTCCATCCTTTCCTCTCCTCTCGTATTGTATCCTATCTTCATACAGACTCTCAGTCAGGGCCAAGCATCTGGACAACAATGTCTGTCGACCTATTTCGAGTTGCTCCCCTCGTTTCACTCCCCTTCCAATAACAGACTACCCCCCTTGCATGGAGCTTCTTCTCCCTCCAGGAGCCGAGAGATACAAGCAGCTCACATCTCAGCAACTTGTCAATCGTTCACCGCATGACTGAACCACTTCCTGGAACAGACTAAACGAACCCGATAGATCAGATTTTGAGAGTTCCGTGACCCATTCATCTGTCATATTCGGTCTGGGGGGGGGGGGAAGAAATCGAACTGTTCTTTCCTCGTTCCGCGATCGACGCGTTTCGAGTGCGCGTTTCCCCGAAGGGCAAGTGATATATCACAAATCCGGCAACGCGGGTCCGATTTTCCCAATAATTGATCGGGTTATGGGATCGCTCCGGCAATAGTCGTGTCCTGGCATGGGGAGTCCTTTTTACTTTGTCTTCCAGAAGCGTGGCAGGAAGATGATGGTGGTGGCTCTCTATCATTCTCCTATCGCATCGGCCGTGATCGGACGCGATCCCGAACCCTCAAGATCGCACAGCACATTCCAAACCTTTTCTCTGCGCTACCAAATTCTGGACTTGATGAGACAGAATCTGCAGGTAGATCTAGCTAAAGCCCACGAAGAATGGATGGCGAAGAACGCTAGAATTTTCCCATGAATACTCCTTTTTTCTATTGAAGGTTTACTAGCGTTTTGAGACAAGAGTCCTAGAGTTTGTTTATTGGACTGTACTTGGAACGGTACCTGAAGGGAGCCGACGGGCGGCCAGCTTTAAAGTTTAGCCCTTATCGCGCAATGCCGACCGGATTGTCTGTCTATCAATGCGTCGCTAACTGAAAAGCTGTCATCTATCTGAGATCAACCAAATTCCTGCATATACCACGCAATCTCTCCACGCTGCTCTGTAGATCACTAGCAGAGTGTAAGTGTACGCAGTACGCAGTACGCACAGTTCCCGCTGCTAAGGGCAAGGGGCGTCCAAGCCATGCAACCACAAGGATCGACTGACCCTGCCACAAGGATCTTCCGATCTATATCTGATGCTTCTTTACCCGAGGTCGTTCCAGGGCAATGGTTGGCAATCACTGCCTGGGGATGTTTGAGTTGTATAGATGATGCTACAGCCCTTCAGTCCCTTCGAAGGTGGATGGTCCATTCGGTGACAAGGCCAGAATGAGCGATCGGTCACTTATTCAGATATCCCTCGACCTGGCTTACCAATGTCTGTACGGCCACCGGTGCTCGTATTACGTCAACTCGTAGGAGTCAATCCAGATCGGGCTATCTCTAGGGTTACCTCCACGCCACTTGAAATAGAAACTCTACGCCTTGATTACTCGAGTGCCTCCTTGGACTTTCAGTCCCTTATCAAGTTAAGGCACCATAGCCCCAAGGAAATTGCCGGGCCCAGTCCGCTTAGTCCAATTCTTGTATCGTCGTGCCTTGTCAGCCGGGGGAGATCAGTTGATTAAGAAGGGTAACTTGATTGACGTTGTGTCGACCGGCCCGACCACCAGGTAGAAAGGGTTGCTGGGCCAAGGAAACACGATTCCCCCGAGGAGAAACGTCGTGAAGAATATGGGGATGTGTATGGGGTGGGGGGTGCGTTTACAGTCGTGGACCCGTTCCTGGTGGTCGTGTAACTGTGGTTAGAGACGTTGGGGCTTGGGGCTATGGACACGAGGTTTCTAGCCTATGTGGAGTCCGCGCAGAGGCTTCATGCATTAAGGGCATTTAACATGGCAACGAAATTGCATGGTTCTAGGTGGTTTTAAGCTGGGTTTATGTGTTAGTGGGTTGATCTAAAGCCGATAGACAGTTCATGACTACATAGGTTATATCCATTTGCTTCATCAGTCACTCGATACCACTTGATTCATATTTGCTTGGAGTCTGAGTAGCGAAACTCAGTAACAGTGCATTGAATGAACCCATCAAGAACAGAACCTTGACAGAGGAAGAACATTGGTGGATACATGTTCTTTTTGATGGTTTGGGGTTTGTTGCAAGGCCATTTCGACACAACATAACAGGCTCATTCATGTGTGTGCTTTTGATGAGTTTTTTGACCAAGTAGGACTTGACTCGAAAGTCGGTTTGGCAATCCAGAGCTCGCAGTCTGGCAGGTCTATAATAGCACTGGCTTCTCCTATAAGCAGCAATAGTCAGCGTTCCGCAGCTGCCACATGCATGCCAGCGAAGCGAATCGTGGCTATTTGTGCCGCTCAGGCCCATGTATAGGTGCTGAAGACGCTGTCTAATTAGAACAACCAGCCCGGGGAGTCACGGGGAGGATGCGAAGCACGATGGAACATATAAAGGGACGGCAAACAGCCGCAGGAGCCGTCATTTTATAGATCTTTACTTGTATTTAAGGAGTTACAGGGCGTACCGGGCATGTAGCTGTGCCGCAATAGGCGGGCTGAGTTCTCTCACGGGGCTCCTTATGTTAAGAACATGAGTTGAATTGAATTGAGTTGAATCGCTCAGGCTCAAAAGCCAGTAGCCAGTAGCCATAGATCCAAGGCAGGGGATCAGACAACACGCCACAGCTAATGAAACAGAATACCATACCAAACTCAGAGAGAGTTACTAGAGTAGCAATTTGTTCGTGGGTATTCATTGTTCTATACACACACCATCTAGATCTGCAGACCTGGTTTAGATCTTGTGTGACCACTTTTGCTATCCTCGGTCCCCTCCCTAAGCAAGAGTCACCCCACGGTGTCGCATAGCATAAGCAATTTCTGAATCGGAAGGCTGAAAGCCGATTGAAGGCATTCGGAAACCTCTTCGGCCAAGGCTCCGGAATATCGCCTACCACCAATCTTCGATCGAAGTCCAACCGTTGAAGTCAAGCAAGTAGTCTTCGCTGTCGCCCTGCGGTAGGACTCGGAATATGATATACAGCTTCTGGGTGCTGGAATTGCCCCCCCGCTTTGGGCATTCCAGCACCACGCCTACTTCCAGCTTCCCGCAACGCGGCAATGCATCTATGGCGGACGAGATCTCTATGTGGCATCGATTCAGGCAGTTGTATGGCCCGTGTGGGCCGTAAAGGGGACAGAAAGCTCTGTTGTGACCGTAGGGGATTCCAGGGCAACGCACGCGAATCCTCGAACTCGGAGCGTTCTGGAGGAGCATGGTCCGCCAATTGTCGCGTAGGCGCCAGTGGCAAGTACAGGGCCGGATGGGTGGGCCGTCCGACGTCTGGGGTAGGCCACCATGCAAGGTAATCCCCCCATGGGGTGCCAGGAACTCCGTCACGTTGCGAAGTTCGTCCGAATTGATCATGAGGGACGCAAACGCAAGGACCTTGCGAATTTTCGGAGAGGTTTGGATGAGATCTTTCCATGCGGAGCACACGTGCTTGGACATGAGGATGGTGTACATGTCCACGTTTAAAAAGATCAGCTCGAGGATTTCTGGGATGAAGAATATCGCGGATGCTTCTGGCCTTAGGGATATCTCTGGAACGAGCATCTTGGCTGATTGCATCCCCGAGTCCAAGGACACATCGGGATCTAGCAATCTATTGGTTGCTGGTGCCATCTTTGAATTCAAGGAAGGTTGAGCCGGTCGACGGGTTCTTTGCTGTATACTTCTCTTGGAAAACCTGAGGAGTATTATACTGATTGACAGTAAGCGAGGGTCAGAAGTGGTCTGTTGATGGGTCTCCTTGGTATTGGACGTTGGGCTTGCTGCTGCTGGATAATTCGATGGTTGTGGGAGGTGATGGCCATCAACGATGAGTCAAATCTTGCTGCTGGTGTCAACACCACATCATCCTCGTCATGCTGACCTAACATCGCTGTCGACCTCATGATATTGACTCTCTATGTCTGGATGCCGTCTGAGCACAAGCTGCGTCAAGAGCATTTACTCGCGCCCCATCGTCAAACAACCACCGTCAGTAAGACCATCTCAGCGTCGAAAACTCGCATGGCCACCTGCTCAGCTCACACCATTGATCACAACTGTTAACACATAAGAGTGATCCATCCCGGTGTCAGGTTCGTAACCATGGTATCCGACTCTGGCTGTTTCGCAGCGGAGGCAGAGAGACAGCTGGTCGGCACTTGTCGCGACGGGCGCGGCAGGTGAGGCAGTCGGTTTGACGGTGGCGGTTTCTCTGGATGGCACATTCATTTGTGCTGGTTTCGTTCGAACTTTGTGAATACGTTGATTTAAGTTGTCGTGGTCTCGGTTCGTGGAGAGTAGTTATGTATGGCAACCATGTGAGCGGAGCGGCTGCCGCAATAATCTGTCACTGCAGTCAATGGACCTGACCTGTCTAGATCTTGCCTACTTGGGCTGTTGAAAGGGATTGAGTTTTACGCTAAACATCCATCTATTGTACTCCCTTGTATTTACATAACTGATAGTATTTCTATATGTCAGGCAGTGCTCATGAATCCGTCATCACATCGCAGACCCGCAATAAATGAAACAGTGTACAAACATGTAAAGACGGTGGTATTAACCCCACACAGAAAACCACCGAGGCTAAGAAAATAAATTCCAACATACAAGGCTAGTGCTTAATATGGGCAACCATCCCGATAGACTAAAACTCCGAATTACCCAAGTCTCTTCCCAACTCGGTCAATACATGCACCTACAACGATTTGGCCCATTTCCACCCCGAAGTCCTGGACTCAGGGCTGTTGATGACCGACGACAGCAGACTCTCACTGGGCGGAGTTCGACGTCCTTGGCCTTCCTGTCGATTCCGGTGCTCCCGCTTGAGCAAGGAGACCGCGGCACTGGCATTGATCCCCTCGCCGCTGTCCGTGATCTTCAGGGCCCATTTGGCGTCTTCTTCCTTGAAGCCTAGCTCTCGAACCAGCAGATCCATGGCTTTGTCCGTTGGGTCTTGGACTTGCGGGTGTCGAAAAACAGGCGCAGTGCTTCGCTGGTTTAGGGCTGGCACGGTGGGGCTGGTCCGTGGAGGAGAGACCAGGCTCTCTGTTCGGGCTGGCCCGCGTGATTGACCTTCTAGGCGACTGATTATCATTTCATATTGGGAAATCGGTCGCTCTTCTACGAGCGGAGGTGGCTTGGGCAGGTTCATGGATTGCTGTTTCTGAAACTTGAGCTGCACCGAGTAGGCGGCTTGTCTGCGGCGCTGCATGTCCAGCGAAGGGTCACTTGTCACAGGGTTGTCGCTCAAAGGGGAGTTATCAAACGGACTAGATGCTCGGGAGGACGACTCGGAGCGGGTCCCTCCCCGTGGCTTATAAGCTTTCGATACAGCGTCCCGCAAGAACGATGACCGGGTGGCAACGGTGTCCGAAGCCAGCCAGTTCGTCAGCCCCATAGATTGGGCTTTTCGGAAATTAGCCAAAACGGTATTCTCGTCCGCTGTGATCGACCCGAGGGTCAATACTGCTGATAGACCAAGTGTAAGGATATAATGAGTCCACTCCTCTAATCATCGACCATATCAGCTCAGTTGAACATATCCGAGATCAGGGGAGCAGGCCATCTACTTACCTAGAACTGCTTCCTCCTTTGCAGTGGCATTTTCTTTCACATTGTGTCCTTCAAACACTCCCACCTCTCGTGCCATCCTTGCTTTCCCATGCATGGGCTGGAGCAGTACGCCAAGGCAGGTCCATATTTCAGTCATGCTATGTAGCTGCCTCTGCGATAAACCGCCCATGTTACCATGTCCAAACCCTGTAGGTGGCTCAAACAAGACGCTGCCCATGTCGAAATGATCAGTGATAGACTGTGCCACAGAGACACGCTGGTCGGTGACATTTACCCCGCCTTCAAGCCATGCCATTTGTCCAGCGATATCACCCTCTCTGTGCTTGCCGCAGCCAAATAAACGGCAAAACGTCCAGACCCGCCAGAAGGCTTCATCAACCTCGGTCGCACAGACATCGTCGAGGCCAGACAGCCCACGAATCGTATCCGGTCGCAAAAACGACGAACATCGGGCTAGAATGATGGACTTCAGCTGGGCGACGGTACAGATATCCTGCGCGTAGTGTTTGAGATAGAGGGCCGGAGTATACTCGGGGACAGGAGCATCGGGGTCAACGAGTACCTGCCACTCTGTACCCCAAGGGGGACTCATCTCGCGCAATTCCCACGCAGGCGGCGACATGACGAAAACGGCGTTCTTGATCAACTCCAACTCATGGTCTTTGAACGCGCGGTAGAAGCTTTTGCAGATCAACGAAACATTAAAGAGGTCGTCGAGCGAGTCAACTTGTCGCAAAATCGTTAGAACAACAGCCTCAGGCAATGTGTTGCGCATTCCTTCTGGAAGGGGTTGAGTAGTGTGCGTAGTGTCGCTTGATTGTCTGATTTGCGATACGGCAGGATTGGCATCGAGCTCATATATGGGCGGAGCCTGCGAAGCATTTCGGCGTCGAGACGTATTTGTAGCCACACTCCCATACTTGCTGTATGACACAAAGTATTTCTCTGACGCTCCCTCAACAAACGCATCATTCAGCTTATTATATCTCGGACTGTGATTGGCATTCTCGTTCATTTTCTTTGCTGTGGACTGAGGTGGTGCCGGCCTCGTGAAACCGGGATCGCCAATTTCCTTTGTCTTCAGGGACGACAGAGTTGGATATCGCTCCGGCGTGCTGTGATTGGATGCTGGGGTGATATTCGAAACTGTGACAGGGGAGCCGGGAAGTTCGGCAACTTCACCTTTGTCCTCATCTCGAGTAAAATAAGATGAGTGCAAATTGGAGTCTAGTGCTGACGCGGTGAAAGGGTTACCAGAAGGTCGGAATTCGGGTCGGCCAGACCAGTGGTTGAGGCCCGGCAGACCAAAAGAGAACGACCTTTTGTTCTTGGAGTCTTTCTTTGTCAGGCTCAATCCCTCGCGGGATTGAGCTTTAACAGCCTGCTGCACATCATGGATACTCATAGGAGACATTGGTCTTAGCCTTGTAGCCATCGTGCCCATGCTTTCTCTACGCATCTGCAAATTCCCACCAGAGTGGTGTAGATGACTATGGGAAGTAAATGTGTGTGTTTGCTGTGATTCTGTGAGACGAGCCATGCTCTGTTCCGGTGGTCCGGCAGCTTTGGACAGCGACGGACGATGATAGTTCTCCTGAATATCTGGCAGCGAGGGTGACTTCAGAGACCTATAGTTGCTATGCCCAGCCTCACGGCTTCTGGGCAAGTGGTGAGATCTATGACGGGCCAACAATGGTGGCAGTTGGAATGACGGTTCCTCGGGAAGTGGTTTGTCTCTCAGCTCCTTTATTGACGAGTGCCTGGATATAGTTCGAGATGGGGATTTTTGTGACGTTCCATCGCCTTCGAAGGATCCCAACAGTTCGGATGAAGAAGCATGTACTGAATATGGAGAATTTCGTCCCGAAGACAAGCTCAGAGAGCTTTGACTCGTAATCGAAGATCTTAGGGTATATCCTGACGATCGTTTGTCTGTGGTCTCTTCTGATGATACAGATGGCGGTCGACCTTTGCTTCCCGACGAGTCGGATAATTTCAAGCTCGTAGAGTCCAGGGGACGAGTCAGACCATTCTTCGTTCTCGCTGGTATTTGAGCGGCATTGCTTGTAGGAGATGCCAGGGAAAAGTGGGAAGCAAGTTCCGGAAAAAAGCGAGCCCAGCGCGTTCCTGACCAAGATGGCGGCTTGTCGGACATGGGTGAAATCGATTCGTCGTCGACGTCTTCATCGTCCTCCGCAATATCTGACCCCGATCCATCCTCCGGCTTAGATTTGTCTAGGCCGTGGAGATCATGAATATTGAACATTTTGACCCCAGCTGGCTGAGAGACGTTACTGAGCGTTTGTAGTGTGTTCATCTCGGAAAACCGCAACGACCTTCGTGTCTCAGGTGTCACAACCACCCGAGCCCCGCTCGAGGTGATACCAGACTCGGGATCTGGATAAGAGAGTAGATATTCTGGGAATCACTTGACCCTCGTTGAGCAAATCGAGTACGTCAATCCACGCCGCACAGCCTTAGACGTACTTTATGCCAGCCGCCCGTCAGGCATGGTTAAACCGTCGGAGGGGTTCCCTGTCCGTCGCACTGCGCTCGTTCCAAATTAAGTCCTATGGACCGATTTCGAACACAGAAGAGATAATTTCGAATTGGCTCTGTTGAGTCAGAACCTAGTAGCGAGGTTTCTGATCGAGGAAAGAGGAGTAGGAATGGTAGGCAGCTTTCGTAAGTTGAGCGCACTCGACTTATGGACCTTATTCCCGTATTCAAGAGTCAGCTTACTATCGCCGACGGATAATTCGGGATAAACAATAAATTGCAGCGGGACCGTATAAATAATCATCCAGGTTCCATCGCCGAGTGTGCGACAAGTAGCAGCGAATGAACTGACCTTGCAAGAAATACTGGGTATTGCTGACAGATACTAAGGTAGATAGTCGGACAAGGTTCCTTCTCGGGTGAGGGGACTGGACTGATTGCGCGGGGGCGACGGTGGGATAAAAGAAGATTAAGAAAGCAACGCGAGTCTAGTCTCCACGTGCAGGAGAGACGACTTCTTCCCACCCCCCTTTATCCAGGAATGTAAGTAAGGAAGGAGTCTAGCAGAGGTTAGGTGAAGTGCTAACGACATGACGCCAGCGGAAATAACTAATGAGCATGAGCATGCAGGCTGATAGGCGGGAGGAGGAGGAAACACAACACGAGGGAGGAAAAGGCACGGGCATGGATGGGGAAGGACGGCATTGTCGAACCGCGGGGGCCAAAAAGACAATACAATACCGTACGTACCAAAAGCAGGAACAGTGGTGGGGTGGTAAGCATAGAATATTCATCTGGCTTCCATTCTTGCAAGTGCAGACTCTTGAATCAATGTAGATAAGAATAGTGGAATCTACATAACGATCATGCCCAACGCGAGTAAATCAGAAATGCAAATGTTGGCTGCGCCAGCTGCTCAGCCATCGGATCTTCAACCATCCCTGGCAAGCCTAGTTTTACCGTACCGTACGGCGGGCATCAAGGATGCAGACTGCACGGTGTCTTTCTCCGCATGTACTAGACAGTATGTCGCAGCCACTGCACTTATCTCCTGGCTGGACCAAGAGGCAGTGCCACACACTCTTTTCGGGTCCTAGGCACTCCGTAGTCTGTCCTGTACACGAGACTTGGCTTATCCCTGTATTCGATCGGATCCCAATAGCATAAAACTTTCCCCAACCTGCCCTGGAGCAATTTGTCACATCTTCTCAACCCAGAGAGAAGTCAAGTGTAGGGATTCAGAGCGTCACGCTTGGAACTCTCGGACACCGGCATGTAAGACCTGCATGAAGTCACGGGAAAGATCCAGCCCCCCTGTTGAGAAATCAACCAGCTCTCACCCAAGAGCAATATCTTAAAAGGAATAGAGTATGGCTCTAAGCCTTAACACCATTCTCATGCAGGGTCGGATCAGACTGTAAGCACCTACGATGAGTTCATGCATCCCTCTCCAAGACGATGATCAAACCGCCACACCGTTGAACAGTTGGAAATTAGCCAACGCCGTTTCAGAGCAAAGGCTTGCTTGCTTTGATTTGTTTTTCGGTAAAGATCGACAGCCTCGAAGCCTCGATCATCAGTGCCGGGCAAACATCTCTGTGGGGCGTGCGGATCACTGTACGGCGTAGCCAGCCTGGAAGGTTCAAAGGATCACTTGACATGGCATGGCATACAGATACTCCTACTCTTCTTGTCTACTGGCATGGAACCTGACAATTGTTCCTCCTATAAATAGAGGGTGGCTCCACTCCACCATACCGAATTGGGTTATACTCCAGGGACTCCCGCTCGGAACCAGACATGGTCCTCTTCCTGCATGCTGGGACAAGACGCAAGTTGCTGGGAACTTGACAGCAGCAGGGCTGAATCATGCTTGTGCCTTGGAGAGGTTACAGGTTGGCAATGGTACAGTACCTGGAAATGTGGGAAGATGTTTTCCGCCCCCAGATCAAGTATGAAACTCAAAGACATTAGTTTGAATTAGCTTCTGCTACGGCGCCTTTAGGTGGCCCTAAGATGGGGGCCAGGTACAAGGTGCACTTAATTGTTGGTGGAATCCTGAGTCAAATCTTCGGCCGAGTCGCAAGATTCAAGGTGATTGCATTGTTATGCTGTTTCAGCGTAGAGTACCGCAGCTACCAATGCTGCTTCGAGTGTCATCCATGACCGAAGCCTTCAACCGGAACGCTTGGTGTGACGCCAAGGGATTTCCCCACACACACAACCATGCAGAAAGGCGTCATTTCTCTAGAGTCTCACCACACAATGTTTCTGGGTCTTTAAAACGACCAGCATATATGGCGGCACCCAATCAAGCCGCATCTGCCTCAGACAAAGTCATCACAACATTGATGAACAACGTCTTTTCTGCCTGGTTTGTGCAAAAAAAAAAAAAAATAAAAAAGGAAGGCTAACACATAGCATGCTTTCCTGGACATTGTTCGATACGTGTTGTATGTGCTCCCTGTCCAAGATGCATGCTCCAAGCAATGCATTCAAAATGACAACATATCTAACCAGACATAAGACTAAGATAAACCGCCCAGATAACACCAAACAGACTCCCAACAAGCAGTCGCTTATCCACTGGTACCACCGTGAAGTTCAAGACTGACACAAAAGGCCAAAGCTTGAAACCCGCGACCAGGATCGGCCAGAAATCCTAGTCAGGAGGGGTTAGCAAGTCCATCGCTCATCCAAGGATCTTCTGCTATTTCGAAGGGGCAGGGGATAAAGGAGGAACCATACATTCTGAATCTGCTGCGTAATCGTCTCCCAGTCCTGACCACGCAGGAGCCCCATCGTCGTGATGAAGGCGACAGTGTTCCAGGCACCGCCCACCACCTGGTCAATGACAATCTTCAACACGGTGTTGGTCACGTTCAATTTGGTCTGCGCCCCTGCAGCACCCTCCGTTTTGGCCTTTGGTGCCGGAACCACTTTCTGGCCAGGGAACCTGGCCTCGAGTCCTTCGAGCCAGAGGAAGGTTAGGGGCGAGAGAATGAAAGCGGACGTTGTGAACTGAAGTAGTGCCTGGCTGTCAAGCTCAAAGGGTCTCTGTAGGGTCGTGTTAGCTACATTGCAGCTGCAAACTCGGTAATCATCTGGAGAAAACCCAAGTCCTTGCGCCGTATACAGCTGAGCGTTGCGACCGTACGTACTTCATCTTTGTAGGCGCCGATCGCCTGCGCTAGGGCGTTGGAACCAGCATTGATTACTGCGGCTTGTAAAGTTGCCTTGGCTATCGGGGAAAGTGCCATGACGATATCGAAGAAAGGCTGAAGTGACGTGTAGTTCTAGGCCACGTGGAGTCGCTTGATCTGGGCTCCTAGCGCTGTAACCGATTGGGGTAGAAAGGTTTCAATCAAGGAGTGTGTATCCACAAGTCAAACTTATGATCAAGCTTCAAGGGATGCTTTGGCAGGAAGTAGAGATATGACAACGAAAAAAGAATCAAATGGACAGGGGGGTAGGTTTTAGTAGTGGGTAGGTAACTTGGCGATGACGAGCAGGTTTGGGGATGGAGCTGTGGGGGTGGGAGAAAAAGGAAGGTTTACACGCCGCCAGCGGATCCTCGACCGACTGACTTCATTTCTTGTTGGTGGATTCAGTTCGGGCCCACCACACCTTACCGGAAACCACTAGAATCAGGGTCTGCTCAGAAGTGCGGTACCCGCACGGTCTCTAGAATGAAAGTATGTACAATCCACTCAGTACTCTTATCAACATGGAGGATGTCTTGCTCATTGAAAGTACCATGCGCAACACATCTCAGGGTGTTGCATTACCTTTGACCATCGTGAATGAAATTACTAACATCACTAGATCTCTCCAATACAGAATCACCAGGACATGTCCTGGCCTCGATCTACACAATCCAGCTCCTTGCAAACTTCGACTGTGTCAGCGATTGTCTACTCAAGCAAGGGTTATGGCTTACGTTGCTCCGCCTGCTCAAACCTTGCATTCTCCCTGGGCTTCCTCATGGCGGGGAACACTTCGACTCCTTGTTGCCTTTCCAACTTTAAATGGGCCTTCAGTGCATCAAGGACAGCTTGTTGCATGCCTATCAGGGTGTTGTCAGATATGGTTTTTGCACGTCCTATTTCAATAAGCTGACTGGTCGACTTACCTGCATCTTTTGCAGCTGATTGAGGAGTGACGCATGCAGAGCAGGCGGAAACCCAGTTATCAACCTTGATCGTGATGGAACCAGTCGAGTCATACCTAGTATTCTCAAGGTTGAAGCGATATTCTGTCTCCAGCTCAGCAACTGTTTTCTGGAGCTGATTAGCCGTCTCCTGCGCTATAGCTTCAGTTTCAGAGACCCTCGTGCTGCTGCTGCTGCTGCTGTACAAATCAAGTCTGAAAGAAGTCCTCTGCGCAGACACCGGGATGCAGGTCAATGTGAACCAATATGCCGTTCTCTCAATTGTCTGGACTGTCGTGATCGGGAAGACGCTTATGCTTTCGTCGCCCTCTTTTGAGAGCCCAAGCCTATCCAACAACCAACAAAGGAACTTTCGCTGGATTCCTGCACTCCTTATACTCTCCTGCTCGATCAAAGACTCGGCAACCCTCACTACACAGCACTCTCAGCAATACAACTCCAATCCTCGGATGAGTTATTACCTACTACACAACTTCCAATTGACTTGGCCCTCAACTGTCTGCCCACCTTCCCATCTCGACCGCGGTGCAAACTCATCAAGCAACCCTACCTCCGGCGGCGGAACCGTCAAGTTGGCATCCAAGTTCACAAACACGAAGCCCGCCCGGCTCGTAAAGGTATGCACAGCGAACAGGGCATTCTGCGCGCGATCGAATCCCGTCACCCCGTCAAAGTGCGGCGCCTTGATGAGCTGCCCGAGACTGTTGTAGCTCCAGCCGTGGTACCGACAGCCGAGAACGGTGGACGAGCCGCGATCCTTCCGAGTGACCGGGTATGCGCGATGGCGGCACACGTTGTGAAAGGCCCGGAGCTCGCCGTCCTTGCCTAGAATCAGGAATATGGGGAATCCGGCGACAGTAAAGGCGTGGTAGTCGCCTGGTTTGGAGAATTGACTGCGGTGCGAGAGGCAGAGCCAGTGCTGAGGTTGAGGTGTTAGATACCTGAGAGAAGGAGACGGACGGAGAGGGGTGGTTACTTTACTGAAGACTGCGCGACGTTCGAGTTCATATGTGTTAGCTCCTGTCCACCAATTGGCAGGGTAATCGGGCTCTTTGCTAATTGCGATGATTTCTTCGTGCTCGAGAGATGGCTCGGGTGAAGGGAGCTTGGTGTGTCTAGGAGTATATTTGAAGTAGGTTTGGAGCAAAGGATGGGTCCAGGTCTGATACAACAAGGCTAATCCGACTAGCAGTCCAACTACTAGAGGTGTTGTTAAAGCTGGTGGAGCTACTGAGTACGATGCTTCCATTATGACGAACAAAGATAGTTGAAAAGAAGTCCTAGAAAGATGCCACTCCCAGCCTGGGCGCGAAAGAGCGTTTATATAGAAGCTCGATTGTCCCCGAGGTCAGAGCGCTGGAATACGTCTCCACCGGCCTGCATGAACCACCAGAGTTGACCAGTAGGACACTGTCATGCTGTGATACGATTAGACTTCTACTTGAATCATACCCGTGACCCCTCTTTGACTTGCCGGATTTGGTGAGACTATCCAGGGTCTACGGTGCCAAGCTGTCACCCGTTATTGACAGTCTAGATTGAGCTGCATTAATGATAGGACTCAGAATCAACCGGTTCTTATCCTGCTTGCACGCAACATTGACAATAACGAGACAATTTTCCTTGCCTCTGACGTCAAGCGTTGATAGCGAACCACTCATTTAATTATTATGGATGTTCGCACCGTTCAGTCCCGGTATCATGCAACAACAGCCATAGTCATCTCAGCTCCTTCCTTATGTGCAATCGCTTTCTTACTCCCTGCCTGCTTCGCTTGATCGGCAGCGTACTGCTCACACACCAGCTCAAACACGCGCCCCTGGTAGACTGAGAAAGATGAGCATCGCAGCAACCACAGACCTTTCACAGTATACTCACACGACACCCCATTCTCCTTCTCCGGGTTCAAGATCCCTTCGCTATAAATGCCCCTAGCAAGGTTATCCTGAGCCTTCTCACACAGCTCGTAATCCTCCATCGCCACCTGCCGAACGAACTTATAGTACTGCTCGAACTTCTCGCCCGACTCCATGTGGTAGTAGTCGAATTCCATCCTCGTCACATGAGGATCCTCCGTCGGACAGACGCGGAACGACGACATGCCCCCGCCATACACATTCAGGGTGCAGTTCGGGAAAAAGTACAGAAAAAGGCCGTCGTCCGCTTTTGCAGGATCGGCTATGTGCTGGGAGAAGTTTTGATGGTTGTGCACCGCGTACGAGGTCGGGGGGTAGTAGACGGAGAAGGACGGGTGCGTGTACTGGCAATGCAGGCACTCTTGGTAGCCATCCACCCTGGTTCAGCATCAATCAGTCGAGCTTCCCGAGGCCATCTGCTTGTCCTGGACCACTTCATACATAGTCTTCCAGTTGAATCGACCTTCATATTTGATGCTGTGTCGGTACGGAAGCTTGGTAAAGTTCACTTTCTGGAGCAACGGTTCCAGGTCGGGGAAATACTCATGGAAACTCGGGGCCTCGTCCCCCAAGGCTGCGAAGACCAGACCAGTGGGAGTGACACGATGTCTTAGCGGTCGTTCCTGTGGCCTTATCAGCGCTATGTTTCAGGATCACCGTACGGTTCCGAGTTGGAAATCGAAGCCTACAGTCTCCGCGCATTGCACTTGGATCTCCTCTGCGCCAGGATAAGGGCCATCCCCGGAGCATCGAAAAGCAACCAGTGGGCGCTGAGCGATCTCGTATTCGACTTTTGCGCCCACCTCACGGAATCGAGTGACGGGACCTAAAAGATACCATGACTGTGGGTGTGATTAGGTTAGGTGCTTTTGAGAATCGAAGCAGGAAACCTCGTGCCTTCAGAAACACGGCTCTCCTTTCAAGCTGATAGAGCCCTTGACTACGATACCAGGATGCAGGCAAAGTACGATGGAGTTCAGGCATTTTCGAGATGATTTTGAGGTCAGTATCAGGAATGGCACCAGCTAATCCATCAAAGCTTCCGCTGGTCGACCTGCTTTCCTTTCTTATAGAAACGGATGCAATGCGTCTTGGAGTGGTGACCTGCAGCCACAGAAGTTCCCATTGGACAGGCGTATCGTTTCCTGAAGAGGTTATGAGATCCCGTGTTCACGGTTCTCTACATGTACTTCGTTTACTTATGTACTGTAGTTTTCCATGACGAGACTCGAGTGCTACTGGGCGGATGAGAGATAGATTGACCAGTCAGAGATCGCAGATACAAGCCGCGCATAAGCTCGATCTCTGCTGCAAAACCCAGGGTAGTGAGCGATTCACAGTATGTCTTGGGACTCATCCGTGCGTTCTGTAAACCGGGGGCAAGTAGTTGATATAGAAGATCGCAATTCTAGTTCTCAGCAGAGAAATTGATTGATGAGTGGGCACTCCATATAGACTCGTAATTCCTCCAGATAAGCGTAGATTAATTCTGGCTCCCCAAATGACTGATGCATTGAGGTTTAGTTGCTGCCTGGCTGCGGGCCATCATTCCTGCCGGTGGCGATGAAATTTGTCAGGAGATAAGATGCATCCCCTGCTGTGACTTATTCTGACTCCAAGCATTGAACATTCTGTTGCAACCTCCTCTTGCGCATTTGAATCGCATTGTATTGTATAATCTCTGGAGAGATTCTAGAAAGCTGGTAAGTTCGGTTGAGAATCACATGGGAATTTCGAGGTGGGTCGTCCGATGATTACGTCGTGACCCTCCGCCGTGACTCTCTTTCTCTCACTCTTTCACCCACCTTCACTCTTCTCTGCTCTGCAATCCTCCTCCGACCGTCCGCTGACTCTTGCCATCCCTCCTACTTACTTAGCGTATCTCCTTCTTGTCAACATTATTACCATAGCATACTCCGGGATTATCACTAGCACATTGCAACCGGTCAATCCAAATCGGATGATATAGCCCTGTGCGACCGAGCTATCACTATGGCAGGCAACCTAGTCAAATACACGCCCCCGCCCTCGCCGCCTTCGCCCACAGCCTCCTACTACGATGTCAGCGATGATGAAGAGGACGACTACAACACTATATCGCACTCGACCTCTCGTCGTGGGGTCAAGCTTCTATTCTCCAAGAGCAAAGTCCGTCCCCCCATGCTCAAATGTCGCTATCAATATAGCTAACCCCGCCTTTCTCCGAGCATCATAGGTTTATGTCCACCCCACTCCCTCCTCCAAAGACAATATCCCTGGCTTTATTGCCCTGATCCAACAAAAGCCCCTTCCCTATGCCTCCGGAACCTCTGCCGCCACCAACCACACAAAAGACATCTCCTCATACCTCCTCGCCTGGGTACCGGAATCCTCCCTTGGCGACGCCTACAGTACCTACGTCAAGGTTGACTTATCGGACGACGCCTCTCCTCCGCGCCAGAAATACCTCGTGCCCGCCCTCCCCACCACAACCACCTACAAAGACCCCATAGGCCTTTACGCCTTCGCCGTGCCCCTGTCAGAGATATATTCGCTCCTTGTGCGACCGCCAAGCCTGGGATGGTGGTTTGGGAGCCTCGTGATCAACACCCGCGCCGGGGACAGCTTCCCCGCACTATTCTTCCACGACAGTGAGTGCGAGTCGACGATCCTGCAGAAGAAGAAGCGAACCCGGGAGAGCTTTGATCCGTTCGGGGAGGATGGGAGTGTGTTCTGGGGCGGGGACGAGGTGCTGCGATGGCTTCGGAGATACGTCGAGGTGCAACGGTCCGCTCTGGACAGCAGCGTCTATCTCATAAACCCGTCCGAGGAGGATCGGATCTCCTTCGGACAACAACCAACCTCGGACGCCGCGAGGAACTCCCAGGACCAGACTGTTGCTCCAGCGCAACCGGGGGGGAGCAGACAACCAGATGCTGGCATGGACCCGTTTGTGAAAACACTCAAGGAAGCACGGTGGAAAGTTCTTGAATCGCTTAGCAAGATTACGACCTTCACCAGGCGGACCGCGAATGAATTGGCGGACAACCCCAGGATACCTCCCCAGGTTCGTCGCTTGATGAGGACGCCTGAGATCCAGACTTTGCAAGATGAATTCGACAGTGCTAGGCTCTATCTCGCTCGTTGGGCCATGAGCATCTCGGAGCAGAGTGAGCGCGAAAGGAACCAGCGCATCTGGACTGCGCGGGATGTGCTTGGCATGGAGAACAGCTCGGTGGGCGACTTTGAGATCCTGGAGCTTGAGACGGGAACTATGTCCATCCAAGAACGTCGGAAAATAGTGACTCTGAAAGAGTGGGAGGGTTTCTTCGACCCGCATACGGGCCGGTTGCAGGTAACTGTCGAAGAAGTGAAGGAGCGAATATTCCACGGTGGGCTGGACCCCAACGACGGCGTCCGGAAAGAGGCTTGGCTTTTTCTTCTTGGCGTGTACCCGTGGGATAGTTGTCGCGACGAGCGCCAGGCTCTGATCAGTTCGAAACGAGACGAGTATATTCGTTTGAAAGGTGCTTGGTGGGAGAAGATGATCGAAGGCGGCTCGACGGCGGAGGAGTTTGACTGGTGGAAAGAGCAGAGGAACAGAATAGGTAGGTGCTTTGAGGACTGCATGGCTGTTTTATACTGACCCATCCGCAGAGAAAGATGTTCATCGCACCGATCGCACGATACCCCTATTTGCTGGCGAAGACATCCCCCATCCGGACCCTGACTCGCCTTTTGCCGAGACCGGAACGAACGTGCATCTAGAACAAATGAAAGACATGCTTCTGACATATAACGAATACAACCCTGATCTTGGATATGTCCAAGGCATGAGCGATCTTTTAGCCCCAATATATGCGGTCATGCAGGATGATGCCGTTGCATTCTGGGCTTTTGTCGGGTTCATGGACAGGATGGTAAGTATCTTGTCTCCGTACACATGCGCCATCCATGCTAACATGCTGAACCAGGAACAAAACTTCCTCCGGGATCAATCCGGCATGCGCGCACAGCTGACGACATTAGACCATCTTGTCCAGCTTATGGATCCCCAGCTCTACCTCCACCTCCAATCTGCCGACAGTACCAACTTTTTCTTCTTTTTCCGCATGCTCCTGGTCTGGTACAAGCGCGAATTTGAATGGGTGGACGTCCTGCGTCTGTGGGAGACGTTATGGACGGATTACCTGTCCAGCAGCTTTCATCTTTTCATTGCCCTGGCGATACTCGAGAAGCACAGGGATGTGATCATGGACCATCTGAAGCAGTTCGATGAAGTCTTGAAGTACAGTACGTCATCCTCTTCTCGCACGTCTCCCAAACACCATGCTAATCTATTGTCTAGTCAACGAACTATCCAACACCATGGAACTCGTTCCCATCCTGACTCGCGCCGAATCCCTCTTCCACCGCTTCGAACGAGCCGTTCAAGCCATCGACAAGAAAAACAACTTCCCCTCTCCATCGCCAGCAGCCTACCAACGCAAACCCACTGCGAACTCCCCTGCTGCCGCTGACAATACCAACAATAACAACAGCAGCAAGGGCAAATCCCCCGAACGCCCTGGGCAATCCACCGGCTTCGCCACCGGCAGCAGCGCCGCCGCCGGCCCCAGCACCCGACCAGGCGACAAGGACGCAAAGGTCATCTCCCCTGAACTCAGACAACTGTTCGCCAAGGACATCCCATGGGCTCGCAAGGCCCGACAAGGTTCGAAATCTGGACCACAGCAACAACAACAGCAGGAGACAGCGGGGACGACATCCGAGCGACGTTCGTAGAACTTCGTCTGGTAACAACAATAGCTAGTTCTCTCCTTTTTTTCTCGATATGATATTTATGACATGACATGATACCTGTGATTGGTTCGGGTTTGCCTTCTTCAGATACTATATCCTTCCTCCCTCGCTATCTATTTTCTGTCCTGTACGACTTGCGACGTGATCATGACTTTTCTCTCCCCAGTTGTTGTTAGTTACAGTTACCTGGAACGAATCTCGACGTCGCCATTCATTTCGTGATTAGGATTCTCGGATGGTATTACTATCCTATCTCTTTTGATGGAAACAGAGCGACGGGTTGCGGCGGTATAGTGTTTTGCAAAACGGTTTCTCCTTCTCACTCTATGACTTTCTCTGTGTATGTGTATTCTAGTGATAACCCTGTATCTTCGCTTTTGCAAACCATCACCACTAACCAGATTGAAGTAACAGTAAAAGCATAGGTACAGTACCTAACCCTTGCAAAGGAATAGCACAGTTGACCTATAGCTAGAACCCAACCCAACCCAACACCACCGGCCACCCAATACAAAAAACCCCAGTAAAGAAAACCAGCAAGCCAAGCACAAATGTATACACTTGACACTAAACAAAAATCTAACCGGAGTATTTACATAACGTCCCCGCCCCATCCCCTGTCCCCTCTAAAACAGTTTAAGAAACAGTTAGAAAAAAAAAAAAAAAAAAAAACTCCAGCTATGCACAAAACCCACACGCTCTTTTGTTGAAAAAACCTAACAAACTCGCAGAATAGTAAAGTAAACTCAGTAGCAGCTTCGGATAGGCAGGCGCTGGCTTTCCTCTATCGAAACAATGGCAAAAGAACCGAACGATACAAGATCAATCAACCAAACGGAAGAAAAGGAATGTCGTCATGTCTCAGTCGTTAATCCCGCTTGGAGGAATAGGTATGTAGATGTCTTGCTTTTTTTCTTTTCTGTCTGTTGTTGTTGTCTTTTTGCTTCTTGTGCCGTGCAATCGAAGAGAAGGTTCTCCCGTCTTGCGTTTTACATTCGGTAGTCAAAATAACAATTAAAGGGAATCTATCTAGATATCTTCGACAATTCTAACGACCGGGACGAGCTTCTTCATCATCGTTGCCGGGTTTGTAGGATCTTCGTTCGTTGTTGTTGTTGTTGTTGTTGGTGGTGGTGGTGGTGGTGTCGTCGTCGCCGGCGTCGTCTTCCTCTTCATCGTCGTCATCATCGTCGTCATCGCTTTCCCAGTCCTCCGCTTCGAGAGAACGGGCGCGGATACCGAAGCTGAGGATGAATCCGACAAAGGAGACGGCGGAGAAAACGCCGAAGGGCATGGCTTCGCCTTTGGTGGGGAGGCGGGAGGCCAAACTGAACAGACTGCCGGAGATGAGGGGTCCCACGGCGCGGCCGGCGGCGGAGAGGGTTTGCGCGAGGCCATTCAAAGAGCCGAGGACCGTGTGGTCCGGGGCGGAGTTTGTGATCTATGCGTTTTTCAACTTGTCAGGATGTGTCTAAAGTGTTAAGCTCGAGAAAGGGTGCATACCAGTAAGAGTGCGCTGGTCAAACCGCCTACCGAGGCGACAGTCTTGATCAGCAAGACAGAACATAATTCAATGGCCATCAGAGCGGTCTTGCCAGTGACACCGCCCTTATCTGTGTCGTTGCCCTTATACCCGATGAAGGGCATAAGGAGGAATGACACCACGAACCCCAGCAGCCCGGCACGGTAAGACCATCGGTTGCCCATCTTGTCGCGCAACTTCCCAAAGATGCAGATCTGGAAGATGATAGTAACGAGTCCTGTAAATCCCTGGGCAAGACCGATCTCCGAGGGGGTGAGAGCACGGCCCAATGGGGGCCTGGCTTGCGAAAAGATGGGGAAGAGTGAGTTGAAGGAGACGTTGCACAGGGCAAAGACGAGGTACGTCAAAAGGAGCAAGATCGTGTCCCGGTTCCAGATCTGACTCTGCATCAACGATTCTGGGTGTGGACGGGGAGAGTCGGAGACCTCCGAGGCCGAGTCCAATTCACTGTCGTGATCCTGACTGTCAGTGGACTGTGTCCGGAGATGGCGGTATGAAGCATGGTGCGGTGGTTTCATCCATCCCGCGCGTTTGGCGGAGCTGGTCCATTGCCAGAGCCAGGCAAACAGGGCCCGAACACGCCGACCAAAGTGGGGAAGGGCATCCGCATCGTCAAGACTCTCGTCGAGGAAGAAAATCGAAGCGACAAAGTCGACAACGAGGATTGCCGCCGCAATGAGGTTAGGGGCGGCGTATGGGTATGGGTTGGGCTGACTCTTGTCGAACGGGTTCTTGGGGAAGATCAGCAGCCCGCCAAGGATGGGGCCGGTGACGCCTCCGATGCCGTACAAGACGGGGAGATAGGCGAACGCTTTGGATTGGTTGCTGCGGTCGGTGATCTCACCGAGGCAGGTCGATACGAGACCCTGATTGCCGTTTACCGCACCCATTAACGCCTGCACCGCGATAGCCTGATATAGTGTCTTGCAGAATCCAAACGCACAGAAGCATATTGCCGTAAGAATGGTGCCCAGGAGGATGATCGGTTTCCGGCCCACACGATCCGATAACCAGCCCCAAAAATAGTTGGTCACAAGCTGCGCGATTGCAAACGCGGTAGCCAGCGCTCCAACATACATGCCCACGGTATTCGGTCGAGCTTCAGCTTCAGGGAATGACGACACCATCTCGGGTAAGTAGGGACTAATCGAGTTGAAGGCCGTTTGTTCGCAGAGGGAGATGAAGGCTAGGATGGCCATCTGGCGCTTCGGGAGTGGTGACCCAGACCCGCGCTCGGAGCCATTATCATTCTGCTGGTGATGCGAGTCTCCGCCAGACGATCCAGACTGTCCAGAGTTCGGTCTTCCGCGAGATTTTGGCGGTGGGGTGTCGAAGGTTTGGTAGTGTAGAGTGGAAGAGTGTCGCCGGTTGAACGGGCCCTGCTCGTCTGTCCTCATCTTCACGAAGGGTAGCTCTAAAAGATAATCTAAATGATAGCAAATGAGGCGATGGTCGTGTCTTCAGCCTCAATGAGCCTCCCTTGCGTTTTCAGCAGAGTTGATGGAGCTCAAGGGCCACACGTCGTTCGCAGTGCGGGGGGGGCGTCGGAGCCCCCAGGATATGACAACTAAAAGCGATTGAAGAGGTGAAATGCAAATAGAAAGTGATCTTTCAACCACGCAATATCCGTGTCTCAAAGCTGGAGGCGAGCAAGGGAGAAAGAAGGGAAGTGATGTTGATAAGCGCAGTCAGCAGCAAGACTGGATCTCGAAGATGTTGCGCGCGGAGTAACTCCACTCCACACAAGATCATCGGCGAGGCCCTGCAGATGATGTAAGCCCCTCTGCAGGCTTGCAGCTGACTCATCCGCTCCATCTTGTGGTCACGCTTACGTTCCCACCACGTGCGTAATAGGCCAACAACAACAACAACAACAACAACACTGTAGACGCTGGTAAACTCGGCTCGATACTATGGCTTAAGGTTGTTCAATGCTTTGGTGGCACACATGACCAGCGCGCTGGGATTCTGCACCGGAACTTAAGCCCATTGGTCCACTAGCAGAAATGGCGCCTATATCGGTTCGGTCTCTATCTAAATATATGCCGATATTCACACGCACTTTTTTAGCCTACGTACTCCGTGAATTTGTTTCTCATCCTTTGGGATAGTTTCATCTAGAGTACACCCCTGCTGCCTCCTAGGCTTGGATTTGAAACACTGGTCCGATTTTCATATCATTGTGGTTTGTATTTAATGTATTGAAGTTTACTCCCGTAGAAGAGACCTTGCCAGGTCATGTGTGCATTGTTCGACTGCCATTGAGCCCTATGAATAATTCTAGGAAGACTTGCTAAAACATCATCATACTAGCGTTAGAAACGTGAACCGCACAAGGCTACTCATTTCATCAACAAGTTGACAGCCCAAGGGACACTCAGCCCTCTCAAGTCACCGTAGTGTTGACCAACGCCCAGAAACACGATTGGGATACCCGTCGCATGTACCATGCTGACCAGAGTGCCTACCATATCACCGACAGTGTCGCATTTACTAATAATGAAACCGTCGAGATTCCTTCCCGTACCAAAGGCCTGGTTGAAGTTACGGGCCTGCATCACACTGTCCGTACCAACAAGCGCTTCGCCGACCATGAAGATCTTATCGGGCTGAGCGAATTTGGCAAACTTCTCCAAAGACGACATGAGACGCTGGTCGTTGTGGCGGCGGCCTGCGGTATCGATTAGAACAACATCGAACTTGTTGGCTGCGCCGTATTCCACAGCATCCTTGGCGACGTTCGCTGCGTCCTTGCCGTAACCCTTTTCGTATAGTTCCACTTCACCAGCAGTCTCACGCTGGCTGAGTTCCTTGAGGTTACGGGCATGAACACGGAGCTGCTCCACTGCACCGGACCGGAAAGTGTCACAGGCCGCAATCAGAACACGGTAGTTGTTCTGCAACAAGAAATAACAAATCTTTCCAAGATTAGTTGATTTTCCGACACCGTTCACTCCAACAATCGAGATGACGTAGGGGCGGGGAGTCGCCTGCTTGGTCGTGGGAGATGTGACAGCATCAATCTCACGAAGGAGATCGAGAGAAGAAGTTGGTGTCAGGATTTTGCGTAGAGAGGATTCCATGGCCAGACGCAGGGCCGCATCCACACTTTGGAAGTTGGCCGTCTTCTTCCCGACAAGCTCCCGCTTGACACCGTCGCAAAGCCGGACCGCCGCTTCCCGCGCGACATTCTTCTTCAGGAGATGATCTTCCATCGTTTTTAAGGGCTTTTCCAGATCAGCTTCCGTCAAAACCTTACCACCGACAATGTTCCGTAGGAGACCACCGATGGCGTTGAAGCCCGAGCCAACGAGACCGGAAGAAGCAGCACCCTTCGATTTCTCGCTCTCCGCATTCTCGAGGATCGAGTGAACCTCGTCTCCGAGGTCCTTGAGCACGAACTGGCCTTTACCAGTTCTCCGACCCCATGAATCTTCGGAGACAGCCTCTACCGCTGGCACCTGTGCTCCTTCAGCATCAGCCGGAGCCGAGTAGTCCAGAACCCGGCCATCGTCCTCATCGGCGAAACCGTCTGCATCCCACCGACGCATTTTCTTTCCACTCTTCGGAGTCTTATCCTTTCGCCCTTTCTCGTCACCGGATGAAGCATTGGCGCTGGAGTTGGCGGCTTTGCGTCCACGGCGCGACATACGACCTCCGGGACCTAGCTTGGCGGTAAGGATATGGCCGGCAACGGGAGTTGTCGATCTAGAAATTTCTGGGGTTTGGGGTGGCGTACCCTCATCTGAGGTGACCACGCCGCCGAGCGCAGCTTGTTGCTGCGCTTTGCGACCGTCAGCAAAGCCCTGAAATCGGCGGCATGCAGTAGAACATACCTTTAATGAGGCTAGAGACCGATGGCGGTGGTGGGCCCCCATTGTCAGACGAGACAAGCGGATCTTTTTTATCAAACGCATTCGCCACAGAACTTTCCGATGCGACAAATCCCGAGCTGCCCTCGAGCTCGCGCACTTGCTGGTCAAAGTATTTGTCGAACGGGTATTGCACTATCCTCGCGCGAGTGCTTCTCAGTTGATCTTTGTAAAGGTCGATATACAGGGTAGCGATATTATCGAGGAGTTTGTCGATCCAGCCCAGCTGTAGAATAGACTGGTAGACGGCCTGACTCACAGCATCGGTAAGAGCCACGAAGCGCAGACTGCATTAGGGAAGGCACATACCACAAATATGAGATTGAATTCCTTGACTCTCTTCCACTTCAAGGTATACTTCTCCTTTCTGAAAGTTGGCGAGGTACTGTTTGGTCCTTGAATCTGGGCCTTCTCTTCGATGAAAACATCACTGATAAGACTGTTGACCACGTGGGCACCCACAGGGGCGTAGGACTTTGACCAGAGAACCACACCCGAGGTGTCGAGGATTTCGAAGGATTCCAACATGTTTCCGAAGGTGTTTCGAAATATTTGCTGAGTGATGTAATGATCGAGTGGAAGGTTGATGATGAGGTGGGCGCGGGTGGGGAATGTGTGGGCGTAGGCGTGGGCGGCAAGCTGAGCTGGGGAGCGGAAGGAACGGCGGACTTCAGCCGCCACGTATAAACACCTTCATCTCTCCAACTTTGTGCAAATCTCACTAAGTAGCTCTCTGCCGCTTCGGCGCCCCACGAACTCCCCCATTATCATCCCATCGACTCCCACCCTCAACCTGTCCACAAGTTTCGACTTCGACACTCCTCTCAGATAACATGTATCGCCAATCATTCGCTCCACCCCCGGCGCAGTCGCCTCCGCTTCACCATCCAGTGCCTCAGCACGTCTCTACAGTTCCCATGATGCGCTCGCCGCCACCTCCGACATCTCAGCAGTCTCAACCCGCGGGCTATGGCAACCCATACCAACCCGCACCTGCGCAAGGTGGTAGTGGGACCTACGGCCCGGGGTTTGGTCAGTTCATCAATGATCCAACGGCGCAGATGAGTTTTCAGGTTGGGAAAACGGCGATGATGGCTGGCCAGGAGTATATGGAGCAGAACGTAAGCAGCGCCGATATGGTGGCATCCTGAGGATGTTCATTGCTAACCTCCAACCCCCCAAAGTTAAACCGTTATGTGTCCATTCCGGCTCTCAAGCACTACTTCAACGTTTCCAACTCCTACGTCCTGAACAAGCTTTCCCTCGTTCTCTTCCCATGGCGACACAAGCCCTGGTCCCGTCAACAGGCACGCCTGACGACGGCTGCAGCTGGCCCCAATGGCCAGATCTCGCAGCAGCAGTACTCCTCCATGTTTCTTCCGCCCCGTGATGATCTCAACTCGCCTGACATGTATATCCCTGTGATGGCACTGGTCACCTACATTTTGCTCTCGGCCATGTTGGCAGGGTTCCGCGGAAACTTCCACCCGGAGCTCCTAGGGTCGATTACCACGACGGCTATTGCAGTCATACTGTTCGAGATCATGTGCCTGAAGCTGGCAATGTACATCCTCAGCATTAACAACGAGTCTCAGCTCCTCGATCTCGTTGCCTACTCCGGTTATAAGTTCGTCGGAATCATCCTCACGCTCTTGGCGTCTGAGATCCTTACCCCTGGCCGAGGCACCGGTGGTTGGGTTGGTTGGGTTGTCTTCGTCTACACGTTCCTGGCTAACGCTTTCTTCCTGGTACGTACCCCGTGATGATACCGCAGTAGCCTGGTCGCTAGCTAACCCTTGCTGTCCAACCTAGCTCCGCTCCCTCAAATACGTTCTGCTCCCAGATTCCACCAGTGACGCCTCCATGCGTTCGGGGTCTATGCACACTGTTGCCCGCTCGCAGCGCAACCGCCGCACCCAGTTTCTGTTCGTTTATGCGTACATCATACAGTTCATCTTCATGTGGGTGCTGAGTCGCGAGGGCCCAATCGCTACTGTTGCGGGGATGGGTGCGGGTTCATCGTGATAGCCTCGTCTCCGCACTCGGTCGATTACCAGTAATGAAATAGATGGGCTTCACGAACAGAAATCAGGGGTTTCCTGCAGGCCCCTTCAGCATCTTTCCACGTAAAGCTTCACCATGTTACTTTCGCATATATTTAGATCTTTAATAGCGTCCAAACTTCTTCTCCAATTCTGCTAACAGGTAACCGTACAATTACTAGCTTGCGGCTAATCTAAGGGAGACGCAATATTACGTAGGATCAAATCTACAGTGAAAGTTTTTTTAGAATATAGAATTTATGCATTGAGTCAAAATAGCTATAGTAAACTTGAGACGGGACCTGAATTTGCAAAAGGTTAGAAACCAATCAAAGCAAAGAAGAGTGATGATCCAAATTCCGAATTGGAAGATGTTCCTCAGAGATCTTGGTGATGAGGGAAATATCATTGCCAGAAGGCATCAATTACTATCTAGGCGTGATATCATGCTTTTAATCACCGGAACTGGGGAGGGCAGACGAGAGCAAAAGTGGGATACATACCAATATCCGGAAGTGGAGTCGCAAGGCGAGAGAATTGAGGTCTGCTGCTAGAGTCTTCGCAATGTTAGCATGGACACACATATGGGAATGTGAGTGCAACGAGGAGGCGAAGGGTTGAGGATATCAGAATATGTAAGAATTAAATATCATGCGGCAGCGCTGTATAGAAAACCCCGGCGAGGGCATCACAGACGCTGCGTCAATCGCAAATTACCGCATCATGTAAGGGTTGAGGTGGGAAGCGAAGAGGAAAAGGGTGGATGCATACCAGTACAACACACGATGCGGCGTACACTGTCGAAGTTAGTGTAGCTGGTGAGCAATTGAAGCTTTGCTTCAAATTAATGAGATGATCGTCATGATCAGAACCACATTTGTTCTGGAGTTCCAACACCCCAAAGTCTGGAACGTTGGAGAGAGAACTGCACACACACAGAGAGAGAGAAACACCGGCAAACAATTGCTGCTGAATCAGAAGCTTAAAAGGCGCGGTGATCGGAACGGAAAATATCCGGCGGCCGATGGAGGGCGCTAAGGGGCGGAAGCAGCCCTAGGCCGCACGCAAACACCCTGCGGCGGGCTGCTACTGGCTGCTAAGCGAGACTCTTGTGGGCGAAGGGCCGCAACCACCGAAATTCGCTATCCAGTCAGCCCGTTGAGTGAGACGAGACTTGTGCGTTTAGGACGACCTTCGACAACCCCGACATTTCGACAACAAATCACCACCACCGTCCCACCCGGAGTCTGTCGACCGTGAGTTCCTTGTCGCCCCTCCCAATCCTACGACCACCCTGTCACCCACACACGCACGCACGCAACATCAAACTAAAGTCGTTCTTTGTTCTGCAAAAATATAGGAAGCCTTCGCCATGGCCGATATCGATGTCAAGATTGCTCAATGGAAGCTGGTTGAGGTTGGCCGCGTTGTGCTGATCCGCAGCGGTCCCTACACCGGCAAGCTCGCCGCCATTGTCGAGATTGTCGACCACAGACGTGTACGTTCTATGAAATTCGCGCGAAAATTGCAGTCTGGAGGAATCCCCGGAGATTTCGGTTGGGAAAAGAAAGAGACGGCAACATGGGATGGGATTCGCTGCTGGGAGGAAACATGATGAACATGAAAATTGACACGAGTTGCACCCGATTAGGTTCTGGTTGATGGTCCCTCCACCGAGGAGAAGAAGATCGTCCCCCGCCACGTCCTCCCCCTCTCCCACGCCACCCTCACCCACTTCGTCATCCCCCAGCTTCCCCGTGCTGCCGGTACTGGCCCCGTCAAGAAGCTTTGGGAGAAGAACGAGATCGATGGCAAGTGGGCTCAGAGCGGTTTCGCTAAGAAGACCGACCGCGCCGAGCGCCGGAAGAACCTGACCGACTTCGAGCGCTTCAAGGTTCTCAGACTCCGCAAGCAGGTACGTGCGATATGGATGGATCTGTGATATGCGCGCCATATGAGAGGGGATTACGGGGGATATATTGGGGCTTTTTTCGTGGCCGGTGGTGGAATGCGATGGTTCTTTGGAGGCGCGCAAGAAAAATGGACGAAGGCTGACATGTTCCGACTTTACAGGCTCGCTACGAGGTCCAGAAGGCTCACGCCAAGCTCAGAGCTGCTGCTCCCAAGGCATAGATGGTTTTTGGGGCTCGGTGCAAAGTGTGACAGGGTGCCTTAGGACGGGGTTTATTTGCTGATGGGTTAATTTATGTTCAGCAAAAAATTACGCTGTATGCATTATTTGACAGCATAAAAATGATTCAAGAACCTTTGATATCCTGACATGGCTTGTTCTCGTACGTCATCGAAAGCTGAAAGCCGTTCGCCGCCTGAACGAACGCCCTTTCAGTGAGTATATGACTTATGATACAACTGGGTCTTCGACTTGACATCAGCGGGTCAAATCCTGAGAAGGAAATGGGCAATGAACACAATTTAGACTTTCAAAGCAAAAAAAGACGGAAAACAAAGGGACTTTCATTGTAAAAATTAATAAATTCAAGATTAAGCCTAGATCGAGGATTTGAAGGTCAAGATTATAAGATTGCATAGAACAGCGTAACTTAGTAGTAGCTTGGTTGTATGTATGCGGACGGACTTGGTCTGTAGAGCAGCCGCTGCTTGTGTGTCCGGGGGGAGGGTCCCCCCAATAAGCTCGCTAACGATTTTCGGCAGGATGACATTCACACAGCTTCAAGTCTTCCCAACTCCAACCAAGGCAAAAAAATCCCCTCCATCCACCACAGTCCCCTATTCTGTGTCCAGGTACGTTAAATTGGAATTTGTGCCCGCCCAGATGCCATTCCCGCTCGAATTTGGCGAATTCCTGCAGTTTTGTGGGAGTTTCTGGGTCTCTTAGGCCCAATTCGAGCCTCGTCCCAAACCACCACCTGTGCGAGTCCCACCACCGTGCCAATTGCTAACCTTTCAAACCACCATCACACAGCCCACTTTAGGCTCTACTCACTTCCACACATACAAAATGGCCGATCCCCGTGTTGAAGAGCTCCCCGACGAGGAGGTCCCCAAGACCCAGGTCGAGGATGCCGGCAGCGACTCTGAGTCTGAGGCTGGCGATGAGCCCACCATCCCCGGTGGTGCCGCCGTCACCATCCACTCTCGCAACGAGAAGAAGGCTCGCAAGGCCATCGGCAAGCTCGGCCTCAAGCACGTCCCTGGCATCACCCGTGTCACTCTCCGCCGCCCGAAGAACGTATGAGTTGCGACCGAATCCTTCTTACCCCGCTATCCGAGTTCGCTCGGCAACCGTCCTACAATGAAATTTTCGGAGGCTTGTCAGCGAGCGGACGAGGAATGTGACAGCAGTGTGGCTAATTCTAGCTGGAAAAACAGATCCTCTTCGTCATCAACCAGCCCGATGTCTACCGCTCCCCTACCAGCAACACCTGGATGTACGTGGCTTCTTTTTATGCTGATCTCAGACTGCCAACGGATGACTCAAAGCTTACACATTGCCCTGCAGCATCTTCGGTGAGGCCAAGATCGAGGACCTGAACTCCCAGGCCCAGGCCTCCGCTGCTCAGCAGCTCGCCGAGGCCGCTGCCAACGAGCACGCCGGTCACGACCACGAGCACGACCACGCCCAGGCCAAGGCCCCCGAGGCTGAGGCCAAGAAGGAGGAGGAGGAGGATGATGGCGAGGAGGTTGATGAGTCCGGCCTTGAGGCGAAGGACATCGAACTGGTTATGGCCCAGGCTAATGTGTCTCGCAAGAAGGCCGTCAAGGCTCTTCGGGAGAACGACAACGACATTGTCAACTCCATCATGGCCCTCAGCATATAAGCGTTGTCAACTTAACCGCACGCGTCAGTGGGTGAGCTGTGTCGACCCTCCTGGCAGGCTGGATTGTGGGTGTGCAGTCAGAGTGATGTCCCCTAGGGTGGACACCCTGGCAAGTCCCATTGTGTAAATCAATTAGCTCAAAAGCAGAATTGAATGATCCAGAAATACTATTAAGATTGCTATCTGTAATTTGTAGAGCGCGAGTACCTACGATACTGCAGTATTCAGGCACTGTAGATGTGGCACCGTGACAACAATCACTGCATATCAATACTCCTGGGCCTCTCAGGCTGCATCCCGGGTGGTGCTGTGGCCGTTCGGAAGACGGGAAACGCGGGTCACGTGATGCCATCCCCATTCCAAATCTTGCCGAGTCAACCCTCAACCTCCCGGATTCTCCAGCTTTGCACGTTGACCTCCCCTCTCCCTCCCACCCCCTCCCATAACACAATTCAAAATGGCCGCCGTATGTCCCCACCGCCTGTGCCGATATTCTGACGCAGTCAGCCGGCGAGATCGCCCACTAACAGCCTGGATTACAGCGTAGCGCCGCTCTCAAGATCGACTGGACCAAGTTGACCAGCTCGCTCGGTCTCCGCGGTCAGACCGCTGCCTCCCTCCAGGCTTTCAAGAAGCGTAACGACGACGCGCGCCGCAAGGTCCAGGTCCTGTCCGAGCAGCCCCAGACCGTCGACTTCGCCCACTACCGCAAGGTGCTGAAGAACCAGGCCATCGTCGACCAGCTCGAGAGCCACTTCAAGAGCTTCAAGCCCGCCACCTACGATGTCAACCGCCAGCTGAAGGCCATCGACGCCTTCGAGGCCCAGGCTGTTCAGAGCGCCGAGGAGACCAAGGGCAAGGTCGAGGTTGAACTCCGCAACCTCCAGAAGACCCTCGAGAACATCGAGACCGCCCGCCCCTTCGAGGACCTCACCGTCGTACGTTGCGATCGTTCCGACCGTCCACCTCGATTTGTGCTAATCAGACCATTTCACTCTAGGACGAGGTTGCTGCTGCCCAGCCCGAGATCGACGAGAAGACCTCCTCCCTTGTCCAGAAGGGTCGCTGGATGCCGGCCGGCTACAAGGTGGGATTCCCGGCCCTTGATTGTGCCAAACCCACAATTCCTGAGAACACACAGACTAACCATTCTTTGCAACTTACAGGAGCGCTTCGGCGAGATGTCTGTTGTCTAAACTGGCTGAATCCCTTGTATGCCATTTCCGTCCACTTTTGTCCTGCAACCTCCAGATATAGCCACACAACACACAAAGAAAGACTTGTTCTCTTACTTATCTGTCAAGCATGTTGGCCAGCTAGGATACCCTTTTGTCTGTCTGGTCGTGTGATTGCTGGTTGTAGGACTATGTATAGAAGATGTTCAATTTATGGTTTCCCCCTTATTTCGGGTTGTAGGCTGTAGGTTTGGCTGTGTTCTTTTAATACTTAGATGGCTTGTCAAGGCCTTAGTGTGCTCTGAATACAAAGGAGAGCAAGCATCCCTGCGTGAGTGTAATACAGACATGAAGGCCAGCATTCATGGAAATGGGCGTTGACATATCATAAGTACAGCAACCCGACCAGGTATCACTATCATCAGAGTATCAAGCTATCTTCATCTGCCTCATCAGACAGAGTATAATGGCTAGAGCACTATGTGGATATATCACCCATCGATCCCAGAAATTCTGGCATCATGTAGTGTGAGTCGACAGCGCTTGTTTATACATGCCATTATAATCCGAGATGACATTGATATCTTGACATAGTAGAGAAGTAGTGTCTCTTTCCAAATTGACATTTACTACTGGAGGTCAAGACATATTATTGCAAACTACTCAGTATCCTGAACCGTCCACCACGTGCAAGTCCACCCGAGGATTCCCCGACCGCACAACCACGTTTCCTGCGAAACTCACTGGGGTGGAATTGTTATCCTGAACTATATCCAAAGGGGAACTTGCGCAGTACAATCCACTATACAGGACAACCGTTCATCACTCTTCGCATTGTCCCCTAAATGCAATGAGACATGTTGCCGCATGAAAGCCTGAAAGAGGCGAGCACTAAACCCACCTAGTGTTAGCAACGGCGCAGCTCTGACGCACAGCGATGCTCGATCTCCTCAGGTACATCACGCCTCAATTGATACTTTGTTTCCCAAAGTACTCGCGATAATGACAAGCAATGTGTGGCTTGATAATCCAGTCTTCACAATCCGCCCCAGCACAAAGCCCTTACTGAGAAGCATCTCGCCATAGTACTTATCCAAGTGCATACATATATCCATCTACATCGGGAGTCTACAACGACAACACCAGATGCCTCCCACCAAGCCAGCCACAGCAGGCTCAAGGCTCGAATCTCTCCCCGTCGAGATCATCCAGGAGATCTTCCTGCACAGTCTGGAGGTCAACCTTCCGCGCGCATCACCCCGTCTCGCGGAAGCCCTGTCCACGCCCGCGCTATACACCTGGCTGATCCGGCTCGCATTCAGCAGCACCAACGCCAGCGCCGACCCCCACTTCTTCACAGAGGACTTCCTCCCGCGGCCCCTCGACTTCTTCGCCCTGTCCCCCGTGGAACGCAGAGACCTGCAGACCACCCTCCTGGCCTGCCGCTGGTGCACCCTCCCGCTCATCCGGCAGTGCCAACGCGACTACCTCCGGCACACGATCCACCAGAAATGCCAGCCGGGGAGGGACTTCCTCTTCTCGCAGCAGGACGAAGCCACCCTCCTCTCGCTGGAGGAGCACCTCTCCCGCCTCATCCACCAGGCCGGCCAAACCAGCCGCGCCAGCAGCCCAGGAAAAGGCGACCTAATCCTCCCTGCCCACCCTAACCCCACCCCCAACCCATCAACCACCCCCAAACCCCCCAAAATAGCCCTCTACCTCCACCCCGGGGCCCTCCAAATCCGCTCCCCAAACGACATCTACTCCTCCAGCACCCCCTTCACCAGCACCACCACCTCCAGCTCCCCCAACACCTTCCGCCTCCCGACCTGCACCATCCCCAGCCCCACCGGCACTCTCTCCGCACGCATCCCCGACAAACTCCTATCCGCCCCGTGGACGCCCCAGAAGCTCGAGTTTCTGGCCCTCTTAGCGCCGGACGCGTACCTCGACGACACGCCGGCGCACGACCGGTCGCGGCGCGCGCTGCGGCAGACGATCCGGGCGCGGGAGTTCGACGCGTTCCAGACCCTGCTGAAGTTAAAGGTCCGCATGCCCTGGTATGATTTCCCGGTGCCGTGGCCGGTCTCGGTGAATCATTTCTGCGCGGCGGTGAAGTATGCTGATGGCGTTGGGGATGGGTTTGTGCGGGTGTTGGTGGAGGAGAGGTTGGGGTATGATGGGGAAGGGGGGTTGACGGGGGAGGAGGCGGGGAGGGTTCGGGGGTTGTTGGTGCGGGTGGGGATGGGGGGGGTACTTGGGTTGTAACTAGTTGTTGTGTTTGGGTAGATCGGGGAGAAGGTGAGGGTCCGTACTCTCATGTACTATGTGTATTCGAGGGAGAAAGGGGGTTTGCAATATACTATGATCTCCCCAAGGAAGAAGTATTGCAGACGGTATATAGATAATGAAAGAATGAGAAAGGGGGTTTGCAATATACTATGATCTCCCCAAGGAAGAAGTATTGCAGACGGTATATAGATAATGAAAGAATCATATTAATTCAGGAAGGTAGAGAATCATAAAAAACCACAGGATAGGATATCAAACCATCAATCACAATAGCAACAAGAAACAAGTACAACTAAGAACGAAACGAAACAAAACGCAATCCGTAAGTCGTAACCTCATAAAGATCAGAATCAGATCATATCAGATCCGGATGTGTCGTCTCCATGCAAGCAGAAACGAAAGGGTATAGCAAACAATCCAACCCAACCCCATCCCATCCCATCATGGTATCTTCATCCCCCTAGCGCCCCCCTCCATCTTCCTTTTACATCTGGTCTTTCTTGAACTAGAAGGCAGGCTTACACCCTCGACCGCCGGCCATGCGTCCGCGTCCGCCGCCGGTTCCCGCAGTACCCGCAGGTGAGGCACGAGATGATCACGTCGAAGAGGGTGACGATGCCGTCGATGATGGCCTTGCAGACGGAGCCGATGGTGTTGACAATGCCCATGAGGCAGGCGCCGATGGCGTGGAAGACGCTTTGGATCTGTTTGTCGCTGTTAGCATGACCTTCACCTTTCACCTTGTGTGAGAATGCAGAGGGTTGGAGGGACAGGAACGTACACAAGAGACGACGGCACCCATTTTGGTTTCTTGTTGTCAAGTGTGTATTTGTAGTGGTAGTGGTAGGTAGAGTTGTGTTGTGTTGTAGTTGTAGTGGAATTGTAGTGGTAGGTATGATATCGATGTCCGTGGTAAGTGTAATGGCAAGTAGACAATTATTTCGAAGTCTTAGTTCCCTGGGACGAATAACTCGAAGAAGCTGTAGTGTGGACAGTGGGATCGGTGAAAGGACGCATTGTATGCTTTCTGAACTGGATCCCGTGGGCGGATGGGAGTGAAATATAAATATCCGAAGAAGGGGACAAAACTCAAGGGTTGGTTCTCGGAGTCTCTCGAATGATGTATGTGTGTAGTGAAGCGTAGTGAAGTGAGTGTAGTGTGCATGCCACAGAAGATGAAAAAGAAGCAAAAGATCAGCATGCTACCGAGTCTCAAACACGGGACAGAAACTGCAAGCAATGATGCCGTCATAACGACATATGACATCGTTGTTTGGTGACTGTGTGGTTCACAGCGCCATGCCATGCCATGCCTTGGTTGACCCTCCTAATGCGGAAATGGGAAAAACCCTTGCGGATCGGTGACGAGCCTACTGTACCCTACTGTCCACTAAACTATAGGACAATGGAGGGACAGCAAGTAAGTGAGGGCAGGGTCTCGCCACCGATAAGGCTGGCAGGTTCGAGAACTACTGTACATCTTCCTCTACTCCCTACGCTGTATCATCTGCAGCGGCTGAGGGTCTGATTTCAACGGGTGACGTCATACGTCAGTCCACTACAGTAACTACATACTACATACTGTCAAAGCATGGTTCGCATTCTAATCCCCCCAAAAAAGGGTTTCAGGGGGCCAGTCACACGTGATTCTTGCTTTATTCAACGATAACAAGCCAATGAGATCTCCCGGTATGGAACCACAGCCCAGTAGTATAACATCATGGATACCTGACTTTCGGGCATGAAGGGGACCACAAAGTCCAGTCCACCAAGAGTCTCCACTCTGTTTGTCTGGGGTAAAAAGTCTACGAAAGGTGGATGCAGTGATTATGACATAATACGACCCGGGACTCTTAAGGTTAGGGGCGTGGGCTTGTCAGGGGTAAGTGAATTTCGTTCGTTTGTTCATTCGGGAGGAAAGTGTTGTCCGAGATGATGTTGTTGTGTTGCGCGTTGCGGGACGCCGCCGCCGCCGCCGCCGCCGCGGGAGATGGTGATCTGCGCTGCTGTACTTATTACATATTATGCGACAAAAGTTACCACGGATGATGTCAAGAGACGGCCGTGGGCCAGCCACTCAGCCCTATTTGCAAAGGGATCCTCTGGCCTACGCATAATCCTCATACGTAGTTGGCGGAGCCCCTGCAGAGGTTCGGAGGGTGATCCTGCAGTTCGCAGATGATGAGGGCGGATGGATGGATGGTGAGCTGGCTGGTGAGTTGGTGCTGGCTGATGTACAGTATGTCACTCTATCGGCCATTCCCGTCAAATGGCGACATTAAGCAGGGCTAGAACTGTCGATCACTGGAATCCATGCAGTGATATGATTAAATGTGTATGTAAGTACTATGATACAATCAACTACACCCGCCTTAATATACAGGTATACACGCCTCGCGTAGGGATACAGCCCTACATATTCCCCAACAACCGCAGAATGCCCCTCACTCTGCCCGCCAACGTAATCTGATATCCCGTCTCCACCACCCCCTTACACATCTCCCAAGCCCCCGTGCCATCCTCCCGCGCACCTTCGCCTTTATTGATCGGATAGTCCACCCGCGGCGGGATCCTCGTCGCCATCAACTTCGGGAACCGATCCACGCACACGGCCTTGAGGTTACTCACGCCGCGGAGGCCCTCCTCGCCCGCAAACCGGCCGTACCCGGAGCCCTTGACGCCGCCGAATGGCAGCTGCACCGCGTAGTAGCTCCCGAAGTCATTGACCGAGACCATCCCCGACCGGATCTCCTTGATGCACCGGGCGATGTCCCGCGGGTCGTAGCCGAAGACGCTGGCACCCAGGCCGTACTCGGTCGAGTTGGCGATCTCAATAGCATGTGGCACCGAGCTGGCGCGCATCAGCACGAAGACCGGCGCGAAGAGCTCCTCCTGCGCGATGCGCATCTCCGGCGTGACGTCCGCAAGCAGCGTGGGGGTGAAGTAGTGGCCGAGGGGGTGCGTGGGGTGGGAGAACCGCTTCCCGCCGCAAACCAGGCGGGCGCCCTGCTTGACGGCGTCGTTGATCAGGGATTCCAATCGGTCGAACGAGGCCGGGGAGATCATGGCGCCCACGTCAGGGGCGCCCTGAGGGGATAACAGGACTGAGCCCAGGCGGAGTTTGGCGATGCGCGCAGAGACAATGTCCAGAAGTCGGTCGTAGGCGCCGGGGAGGGCGACGATGCGTTCGATGCCAATGCAGTTCTGTCCTGCGGACTGGAAGACGCCCCGCATGAGGATCGAAGCGATGGCGGGCAGTTCCTGCACGGTGCGCGAGTCGTCCAGGATGAGCGACGGGTCCTTGCCGCCCAGCTCCACGGTGACAGGCGTCAGGGCTTTGGCGGCGGAAGCGCAGACTTTGTGCGCCACGGGACGGGAGCCGATGAAGGTGAGCTGGGAGATGCCCGGGTGGGAGGTCAAGTAGTCGCCCACACCAGGGAGGCAGACAACGCTCTGGACCAGATCGCGAGGGTGGCCGCAGCTGGCCAGGGCGCCGCGAATGACCTCCAGGAAGAAAGTCGTGCACCAGGCCGTTTGCTCAGAAGGCTTCACCACGATACCATTTCCTGCGAAAATGGCGCTGATCACGGGCGAGATGAAGTTGTGGAAAGGGTAGTTCCAGGAAACACAGGCCGAGACCACGCCCAGCGGCTCGTAAGTGACCATGTTCTTCTTGTACATCATGAGGAAGTTCGTAGGGCGCGGTTCCGGCGTCAGGGCCTTTTCACCGTGGTCGAGGGTCCATTTGAGCTTCTCGGTGGTCACCAGGATTTCTCCGAAGGAGGCGTCCACCTTGGTCTTTCCGGAATCCAGGCAGCAGGCGGTGACGAGTTCGTCTTGGTGGTCGAGAACGTATCTATTGCGGACCCGAATGTTAGCAGCGGAGTCTTTCAAGACAATTATAGAGACGTACTTCAGCAAAGTCCGCAGAACCTTTCTCCTCTCCGCGAAGCTAGTCTTGGACCATTCTGCCTGTGCCTTTGCCGCAGCCTTGATCGCTTGGTCGACGTCTTCCGGGGTCGCAGGTTTGATTCCAGAGCCGAGGACTCTTCCATCAGCGGGACAGTAGCTCATGATAAGGTTGTCGTTCCATTGCTATTTGAGAAGAATTTCGAATGAGTCTCTGATCTCCCGAATCACAAGCAGAAAAAGGACAGCGAACTTACTCCTTGAACCTGCCCTTCAACCACCCTCTTCGTTTCTCCATCAAGTTGATCCCATTTCTTCCCTTCCCAATTGGCCCTAACCTCCGCAGGGATGGGAACGTTAAACGTGACGGCAGCTTCCCTTTGGCTCAGAACGTAGACATAACCCAGATACACCGCGCCAAGAGACAGCAACGCGACGCCCAACAACGGGGCTTGGGTCTGGAGATGTTCCACGACGGGCTGGAAAGCCGGCGGGGTAAATTGAGCCAGCGTTTCCATGCTGGGCTGGGAATTCACCGAGTGAACTGGCGCTGTTGGGTTGTGCCAGACACTTTTTTGGTGGCGGAAGCAGTTCAGGAGGGGAGGGGAGGGACAAAAGGGAACTGGAAAGAGTCCGGGTGGTTCGATTGTTTATCGCTCCCTCCGATACGCGGGTGCACGGGCCACCGGGCGGGCTTTGCGGGCTCTGCGGGCGGTCGGTGGGTTCATTCGGGGTTCAACTGGTCTATTCGAGGTGCAAGAATGAGTATTCCAGATTCAAGGGAAATGTATATATGTTGATTTAGCAATACTACATTGATAAGAGTCACCCAGCAAGAGAGCTAGATGCGTTATTCTTCGTCAAGCGAGAAAACGGAGGTACTAATCTCTAGCAACGAGCAGTATCGGGGCATATATATATCTACATGAGGGGTTGCAACATAACCCTATAGTACCCATTTACCACCCAGACAATGATCCAGACCCATCTATCAGAGTCCTCCCTTTCTCTTCCCCGTCCTCTTCACTAGATGGTCGATGACACAGCCCTCCTCCCACCGAGCAGACGACTGTCCCGTGATAGCCCGACATCGCGGACAAGACTTCCCATGCCGGATGAGCAGCTGATGCAGCGAATACTTCAGATGGTCCGGGATGCGCACCTCCAGATGACCAAACGCCGTGACCTCGGTCACCTTGCTCGGCGGCACCCAGCCCAGCCACTTGCAGATGCGAAAGATATGCGTGTCGACCGCGAAGCAGGGCCGCTGCAGGCAGAACAGCAGCACGCAGCCCGCCGTCTTGGGCCCGATGCCGGGATACTTGACGAGCTCCGTCATCGCCTGCTCCGTGCTCAGCGTATGCAGATGGTTCAGGTTCAAGAAGTTCTGGTCCGCGCACGCAATCTCGTAGTTCTTGTGGCCCTCCGACTGGCCCAACACCTCCTCCGCCGCCTGCCCACCGGCATTTGCCCCACCGACCAACAAATCCCGGCGGGCCTTATTCTCCGCATACACCATATCGAGAATCGCCTTGATCTTCTTGCTCTTCACATCCGCCAGCCCGCCGCGCTTGATCGCCTCGAAGACCTCCTTGACCGGCGCCCGCCGCACCGCGTCCCAATCCACGCTCCCCTTGCCGATGCCCTCGCGCAGGATCCCAAACCGCTGCACCAGCCCGTTGAACGCCATGGCCGAGTTGTTCCCCGTCGTGGCCCCGCTCAGCAGCGTCCGGATCAGCGCGTCCAGCACGGACGGCACTTCGCCGCACCCCGTCACGGTCAGCGAGGGCTCCGGGATGGTCGCGGGCGCCGCAATCTGGCCGTGGATCGACGACAGGAGCCGGTCGACTTCTTCGCATTCGTCCGGGGTCGGGTGCGGCCAGTCGGGGAAGGGGCTTACCCCAGGGGTCAGGCCGTATTGGTTCGCTTTCGCTTTCGCCTTCGCTGCTTTTGCGGGGGATTTCTTGCCGGGCGGAGGGAGGTCATCATTGTATGGCGTGGCCTTGTGGACGGTGGTTTGGAGGTCTTTGGCGAGATTGTTGATCGCTTTTTCTTTCTTCTTGATGGGTGAGGCGGGGGTTTCGGACTTGATGCGAGAGGTGGTTGGGGTTGTGGGGGATATCACCGCGCCTAAGTTGTGAGGGAGGTCGTTGAGGTCCTTGATTTGCGGGGGAGGTGTGGTGTGGTTCCTCTTGCGCCGCTTGGGAGCGGGTTCCGGGATGCCATCTTCGGTCTTGATCTGGCGGGGACTGTGGCGTTGGGAACGGATTCGTTCTTGACTGGGGGAGTTCGTGGAATGGCGGACGCTCGGGACTTGGGATAAGGTAGATTGCGCTTGAGAGGCGGCTAATGCTGCCTGGCGCGCAGTTGCGGACCGGGTTATGCGGACCATCTTTAGAACTTCTGGAATGTGTAGGATACGGGACAAATAGAATGTAAAACTAGGAGGAACAAGACGGTTTAGCAGAAAAGACAAAAAATGTACAGAATCTTCCGACGCGGAAGATGCATTAGGCAAAATCTATCGGTATGTACAAATTATATCATCAATGGATGTAGCATCATCGTCATGAGATGAGTCAAAAAAAGAAATGGAGTGTGGTTGGGTCACATGATGTGGCGGAAACACTTCCGTTCAGCCCCCTTCAACAGTACGTCATCTCAGAACAACATGTCTTCAAAGGTATTTGACAATCATGGTAAGGTAAAGGGTGTTCCAACCCCACGCCCTTCCTGTCATGCACTGAAACACACACCAAATAGATAGCCACCCCATGTTCTTGCGAAACCACCATCTACAAAACTCCAAGACTCCCGTCGTTCACGCAATATGCCCACCAATTGGTATCAACTCAAGTCATAAACTCGTAATCAGTGATGGTCGCCCATGTTGTGAATGCTGATATCCATGCGGTCCTTGACCTTGGGGTGCTCCTCCTGGGAGTGCTTGGGGGGGCTGATGATGCCCACCTTGGGCACCTCTGACTCGCCGGGGTTGGCCGCGGGGACGATGTTGCCATTGGAATCAAGCTTGACACCGTTGGCAGCCATCTTGAAGTCCGTCTCACTGGCGAAGCCATGCGTAACAGCCTCCTTAGCGCGGTCCAGGGCCTTGATCTTGCGACCCTCACCGCGAAGCTCCTCCAAGTGCTCGAAATAGCCATCGGAGACGGGGGTGATGTAGTTACCGCAGAACACACCGACCTCGAAATCTTGGGGCTCAGCGAGGCCGTTCTCCTGGGCGATCTCGGCACATGCGCCCTTCAGATCGTCCAAGGTCTGGTAGATCACGTCATCGGCACCAATGTGCTTGGCGATGTCCACCACGTTGCGACCGTGGGCAACCAGCTCGGTAGGCGATGCCAGATCGATACCGTAGATGTGAGCATGGCTGTGGCGAGTCGTTAGCATAAGTCTCGGACCGGCACTAGGGGATCCAGGGGATACTCACGTGATCTCGGGAGCGCAACTGGCGAAGTAGACCTTCTTGGCGCCGGCTTCCCGGGCCATGGTGACGATCTCTCGACTCGTCGTACCACGCACGATACTGTCATCAACCAGAAGGACATTTCGGTCCTTGAACTCGGCTTGCATAGCGTTCAGCTTGCGGCGAACACCCTTCTGTCTCGTCTTCTGTTCAGGCATGATGAAAGTACGGAAGACATAGCGGTTCTTGACGAAACCTTGGCAGTACGGCTTGTCGAGATACCGCGCGACAGCCGCGGCGGAGGTGGTAGATGTCTCGGGGATGGGGATGACCACGTCGATGTCCTTGACCACTTCCGGCCCAAGGATGTCGAGGATTCTGGCGGCAAGACGGTCACCCATACGCTGACGACTACGGTACACGCTGATTCCGTCGATGACGGAGTCAGGACGGGCGAAGTAGACGTATTCGAAGATATCAGGAGCGTAGGCCTTCTTGGGAGCCACCTGGCGGAAGACAGGCTCCGCGCCCTTCTGGATGATGACCGCCTCACCGGGCTGGATGTCACGGATGTTGGTGAATCCGAGCTGGTGCAGCGCAACCGACTCAGAGGCCATCATGTAGTCCATGCCATCACAGTCCGCAGAGGGTCGGGAACCAAGGACAAGAGGGCGGATACCGTAGGAGTCACGGAAACCAAGGATACCAAATCCTTCTAGAGTCAGCTAAGATCCCGGATGCGCGAGTAAGAAGTGACATACCGGCAAGCATGGCCGTGCAGGCGAAACCACCCTGGCATCTCTCGTACATGCGGCTCAGACTGGCAAAGACATCTTCGTTGTTGACACGGGCCTTCTTGGTCTCGCTCAACTCATCCGCCCAGATGTTCAGCATCAGTTCGCTGTCACTGTCGGTATTGATGTGACGGTGGGCCTCGAGGTCCAGATATCTCTTCAGCTCGGGAGCGTTGATCAGGTTGCCGTTGTGGGCCATGCAGATTCCATATGGACTGTTCACATAGAAAGGCTGGGCTTCAGCATTGGCACTGCTTCCGGCGGTAGGATATCTCAAGTGTCCGATTCCCATGAAACCCGGGAGGTCTGCCACCCTGGCGCCGTCGTTGAAGACCTTGGCGGCCATACCGTTCGACTTGAGCTGATAGAAACGACCGCCGGTAGCGCAGGTGGCAATACCAGCTGCATCCTGACCTCTGTCTGCATTCCAAAAATTATTGATTAGCCTGAAGCACGAGGTATTTGCTGGCGTGGACTGCGGAGTGACTCACGCTGAAGCAGGTAGAGTGCCTCATGGAGATCGACGGCAGCGGAAGCCGACGGGTTCGCCTGAATCAAAGCGATGATACCACACATCTTGACGGTAGAGGATTCTGTATAATAGGACAGAATAAAAGTCAGCAAGATTCTCCCGACTGAACTCCTGTCAAAGCTAATCAAGATTATGCAGCTTGAATCAGATCGGAAAATGTCCGCAATGATGCTTAGGAAGTCTAACATCTATAAAAAAAACCGAAATTCATCATAAAACAGGGGGCTGGGATAGGGTGTTTAAGTCATTTACTGAGGGATTGAATGATTGACTCACATCTGAAAGGAGATATTTCAAGATAGTCTTGGAGTACACGCACAGTGTGATGGTAGGGTGGTAGAAACCGGAACTTGGCAAGTTGCAGAAAGAAGTGGGATAGAATCGGAAACGTCTATAGAGACATAACAGGATTCATGTAAAGGAGAGTGAGGGGAGAAACAGGTGGCAACAATGCCCAGAATCACGTCCACGGAGGAAACAGTGAGCTGGATAACATGGTTAAAGAAGTTTTAGGAGGGAAAGAGGAGAGGAGGGGAAGAAATGGGGATCCCATCTTAATAGATTTCTTTTCCTCGCTGTTCCCAATTTTCTTTTTCCCCACCACCAACCGAGAGGAGGCGCTAAACCCAAGAGGAAAAATTTCGTGACCCAAACTTACTAAGTTTACTAAATTTACTGAGTAACACCGCCAGGGCCACCGGCTGGCCGGTTGCTTACATACGGTACCTTACTTTCTGGCAGCGCGGGCGGTAATATTGCCGATGCCGGAGCAGGCGGTCAGCAGCCGGGAGGTCGTTCCCGGCTTCGGCCTGGCCTAAGGCAGCGACTGCCGTAGAGGCTGGTCTAAGCCTGATAGAGATAAGCGATTGGTGCTGTAGTTCTCCTCCCGTCTCGCTAACTATTTGCCGTTTCGGGAAGTCTATACATCTTCAGGCACAGTTCAGATTGCGGTTGATTTTTACGCCACACCTTTAGCCTTGCTAATGAAAGAAAATAATCTGACCAGAGTTGCGGTTAAGATGACTGCATATTCAGCTCCATGTCTATCACATTCCAGCCCTTGTTTGTCCTCTGGCAACGATTCACTGCGGTGATGCCCCAAATGCAGCGACTAAGTGACCATAACTGGCTCAAGCTTGACTCTCGCTTCTTTGTGTTACGTCTCAGGCGGCTGCGTGGATTTAATTCTCTCTATTTCTCTTCCTCTTTCTGAAAACTTTTACAAATGCTTTAGTTTATATCAAGTTCTGCACCTTAGAAGATCTCTACCTTTCTCCGCATCCCACTCTGCACCTACATTGACTCTGCTGGATTCGTCCTACAGCTTCGCCGGTCTGAACTATCTGGACTATCTTCATATGGATACTTTCAACTCATCTCCTTGACTCGTTCCATCGTTCCGCTCGCTCTGGCTTGATATCATGTTCAACTTCAACTCCAGAAGCCGTATCGAGCAGTGGTCGGTCGTTTACCAGACAGCAACTGACTACGATTCAGATGAGAGTAGTGTTACGCTTGGAGATGAATCGGAAAGAGCAGTCTCTCTGAGTCTCGTGCAGGAAGTCCTACAAGACCCATCTGGCAGTACAAATCCCACACTTCCAAACGAAGAGCGCGAGGTCATCGACCTCACTTCGGAGGGATTTGCTCCCGGGGACTACCTGACAGATGAAGCCTACGACCAGTTACTGCGAGAATTGAATCGTGCTGAGCCTCAAACTCCCCCATTACGATCCCGTCATATCACAAGGCCAGAGAAACGCCGGCTCCCTGAGGCCTGCCTCAATGGAATTGTGTACAAGAAAGGCCAATCCGTTCAGCTTCACGATGGCACTTTCCTCAGAATTGAAGAAGTTGTGGCAGATCGTTCTGCCGATATCTTCTTTCGGGGAAGACGCCTGATACACACGAAAAACCACAGCGGGAAATACATACCGAGGTGGGATAATGAACTTGTCTGGATCGCGAATGAGGCAATAGACATTCCCTCCCACCAAGTCAGGAATTTTGTCCGCATCACGTTCACGAACTTCTGTATGATCCAGAAAGACTGGATCAAGCAACATCAACGCCCCAAAGAGCTATTCTGTCGACTCAAAGAGCATTACGGGGACAAGAAGCCATCGTCAGTGGAATACCTTACCTGGGATGAAGCAGACGAAGGATTCAAATTCGACCCGCCGAAGCTCCGCCGTGCGTGGCGTGGTGAGACCAAGCCTTTTGGAGCGTTTGACCCTGGTGAAGTCGTGGACCTCGACGATGACATGTCTCGCCAAACAAGACGCGATCCAGTTCGTGCAATAAAGCGACGTCGTCAGTATACATTTGGCGATGCATTTTGTGGTGCTGGCGGCGTTACCTGCGGTGCTCGTGCCGCTCTTCTGCACCCCGAATGGGCCTGCGACAAATCCGAGTCCGCTGTCATGACTTACAAACGCAACTACCCAGATGCGAACGTCAGGCTTATGGATCTTTTCACCTTTATCCAGTCAAAGCACTCCACTCAGGTAGATATTGTTCATGGGTCTCCGCCGTGCCAGACGTTTTCACCCGCGCATACGATCGAATCCGTGACCGATGACGCCAACAACGCGTGCATCTTCTCGTGTTTGAACTTGCTCCAGAAGTCGAAGCCCAGAATCCTTACCATGGAAGAGACGAGTGGCTTGTTTGAGCGTCACAGGGAGACATTCAACCGAGTGATTCTAGACTTCATCGAGCTTGGATACGCAGTGCGCTGGGGCATTCTCAACTGCGTCGAATACGGTGTACCTCAGCTACGGCGAAGATTGGTTATTATTGCATCAGGGTAAGTGGCCTGAGAAGCTTTCGAAGGAGGGATGCTAACAAGGCAATCTTAAAGACCAGGAGAATCACTTCCTCAGTTGCCCAAGCCGACTCACGGACCCCCGGGCTCTGGGCGCCATCCCTATGTTACCATAAGACAGGCCATCTCTGATATTCGGCCGGGAGCGCCGCACCATAATACCCGGCGAGCAGCAGCTCGTCCGATGAACCGGACACCGTGCGATGGCAGAGGACAAGTCCGAACGATCACCTGTGGTGGAGGCGAAATGAATGCCCACCCTTCGGGACGGCGTAATTTCACGAACAGGGAGTATGCATGCTTGCAGACGTTTCCGCGTCGGTATCACTTCTGTGCCCCGCACGTTCGAAAGCAAATTGGCAATGCGGTTCCCCCGAAGCTCGCACAGGCGGTTTATGAAGAGATCGTCAGGTCGCTTCATCGAACCGATGAGAAGGAGTCAAGGCATGGTCCTTGGTAGTCAAAGGGTCGCAAATGTACAAACGAGGTTTGGTCTGTGATATCCTGGTCGCTTTGTTTGGCATACATACTCTAGCACGCATGGCCATTAAAATGCTTGGTTGGACATTTTGAGCTACAGACTTTCGCTTTTATCAAAACTTCTACTTGGAGCTCGGGTGAAGCTAGCCTTTGTTTGTAGCCAGGTTACCAGGAGTGTTCCAATGTTCAGGTCATGGCGTGGTGGTGGTGGTGGTGGAAACGAGTTGATGAGATTCAGGCAACTTGGGAATTGCTTGTGAATAGTTCTTGTTTCTACGATAGCATTTCCCAAGGCATGGCCATATGTTTTATGGGAGTCAAGTTTTGTTTATTACAGTCTTATAGTTCCAGAATGACCATTTGAGCTTAGTAAGTAGCACTGTCTTTGAACTTTGTGTAAAAAGACTCTCAAGAACCACTTCTTGAGTAATGTATGTGTATAAGCACGACGAAGTTCCGTATCAAAGCTAGACATTGACCAGCTTTCACTGCGACCCTCATCAACGAGTTCATTAATACTATCCCCTCAGAGATACAAGCGGGATTATACGCTCAGTATCACAGGTTAAACTAACCATCCAAGTTTAAGATGTGATGCCCTCTTCGAAATCTTTGTATTACACGCCCATAGAGAACCGACAGTCAAGTCAAAATAGCCATTCACTGAGCCGATCTTATTGCAGGTCCTATCGACAAGTCCAAAGCAGCACTAGCTCTTCTAAGAAAACGAAGAAGACCGTACAGCACGTCAGGTATGGCGGATAACAGCCACTGCCATTCTATAGCAGCGAGTTCCCTCATCAATTACCTCTTACATCGAATTTTCGAAGCTTGATAAGAGATTCAAGCATGTTTCAAGCAACCAAGTTAGTAAGACGTCTCTCCAAGCACATCATCATATTTGGGCACGTTTCCAAGCCGTCTCCAAGCAAGCGAAGTAGCAAGGCGCCTCTTTTAGAATGTTTCCAAGTGATTAAATGGCAAGATTCCAAGTATTAATCTTAAGTTAGTGTCATTCGAGGTTCTTAAGTAGACTCTATACATTGACTAATATCAAACATGAGGTTGACATGTAAGAGGTCCATTGCGACTTATAATTTCTAGGGGTATAACCTAGCATCCAACCCACTACCACTGAGACACTCAGAAAGCTGATTAGAGAGATTCATAGACATGAAGAGGGGCCTAGAGTAGTGTTTGACTTGTTCAGAAAGGTAAGAGAAGTATATGCAGTTTATCTCGTTGATTTACTTATTCGACGAGGTGCTTCTAACATGCCTTGTCACTCCCCTTGAGAAGGCAATTGCAATCGTGCTTGAAGAGTTGCTTATAAGCAGTAACTGTACCAATTATACCAGGGGAATACGTAGAATATCAGACGAAATGAGCATTTCGTACTTGCAGGATGGCGGCTGTTACCTGTGTAGGGATCTTATAAACGAGTAGCCGCCTTCTGCAGCTCAGTGCCGAAGTTTTTCGGGATTAGTATGAGACAAGCAAGAAGAATCTCCGAAAGTCTTGACCTATGCCGATGAATTCGGCTAGAGACATATGGTTACAGATTGATGGAGGTGGGTGAATATTCTTCAGTTTCAGTCTCAGCAGGCAAAGCGGGAAGGCAAGCCAGGCCGTCTTTCAACACTGACTTGGTGGTCTGTTTCTCAATCTCCGTCTACTTTCTCTCTCCCTGGCCGTGGTCCGTGTCATATCCCGTGTCACTCGAAATAGTTTCTAAGACATCGACTCACTTTTACCTTCGCCTCCCGAAGGCCTTTTGCCTTTGCCTTGAACCTCTTACGGCCTGTTCTTCCAGCCAATTCCTTCAAACGCTTCTACGCTTCTTTATCCAAGTGATGGCTGCTTCACCAATGTATTGAACAGTGCAGATCCCGTGACCACAGTGCAAGGCACGCTAGTCAGCATGGCCCAATCAAAGCGGGTGGCTCGTCGAAGCATAACACAAATGAAGGATGAGGAAAACATTGTTGAACCAAGTATTGAAGCCACACCTGCCTTCAAGATCCAGTTGCAGGAGCTTGCGACTCTTTGCCAAAGGCTCTGTTCCACTTACCGACCACCCAGAAACACCTGGCAACTCGGAGACCCCAGACCCCCCAAGCCTAGCCTACCCATAGGCAAAAGTCAAAGCAAGATAAAAAAACAAGACCAGCTGGAGATCTGGAGTTCCTGGCCACTGGTGTCGACGTTCTGGGATCCGGCGCAGAAGGGATGGCCCCCCTACGGGGTCCGCCTGCCCGACGCCTGGGTCTACCTTGCGATCAAACTTCTCTCTACCACTGAGCGCCATGACAAGTATCCCGCCGACTTTGACGGTAGTGGCATGGTCCGACAAAGCAGGGTACCCTGTGGCCCGACGTTTGTGATCTCAGCCCATGGGGTCTTTGCGTATCCTATCTTCAAGGGGTACTACGTTCTATGCGGAGAGGAAGGGAGAAAGCACTGCGCCTGGCTGCTCCAGCGCCAACGTGACGCAGCGGGCAACCAATATCAGTTCAAAACGATCATCGCCGGGCCAGTACTGCCGCCCCCAAGCATGCGTCCACCTCACAGTTTCATCGTCAAGCTACCGCGCCAGAGACCTGTGACTACCGCCGACTCTGGCACTCCAAAGCGGCCCGACACAGCGGAAACGGACCGCTGGACGGTATGCCTGGACGACATGGTGCTGCAGTACAAGAAACCCGACACCTACGAGATAGTGCCATTCGCACAGCTGAGCCCGCGTCTCACCTGCACAGAGTCTTCGGAGTCGGACAAGCTTGTCAACCGCCTGAGCTCTTCCTCTACCACGAACACCACGGCTGCTCTTACCGGCCTTACCCGCCCAGTTAAGCGACCTCGCTCCGAGGCCAGCACGCTGCCCGCCACACCTAAGGATACTACAACGGCCAGTAGCCCTACTGACTTCTTCAGTCCTCCTAGAGCGTCCGATTCCTCTACCAAGCAGACTACCCCGGCGCCTAGCATTCAGACGACAGGCAAAGGCAACGGGAAAATCAAGCATGCTGATGCAGAAAACTGGAAGGACCCGGCCGGTACACCTAGCATCAACAGCACCCCCAACATACTTCAAGCAGAGGAAGCCGTCCGAAACCATTGCAAGCGTCGCCGGATCACTCCACATAAACAGCTCTTATCCAAACTCTGTGACTCTTTCATGCAGACCAGAAAGCATTTTGGCACATACCATGCATCTTCCATGGAGGCCGAGAAACGTCGCGAGGAGTATGTGAGGGCGCTTGAACAGAGACAGAAAGATCACGACGCGTATATGGAGGCAACCATCGGGACAATCAACGAGATCCAGACCTGTGTCGCGTATCTCCAGAAGGAACTAGGCGGCGACAAGGAACCTGATGTGAGCGGAGACCAGTCTGTCGAATTGAACAGCATGGAGGAGGTGGTGAACGAAACAGACGCAGAAGCGAAAGAAGAAGAAGATGAAGAAGATGGTGACGCTTCTGGGGCAGTTTTTGGGGAGGCTGGGTCGAATTCCAATGAAACAGGCTAGGCTTGCTTGTGGACGGAGTATGGCTTCCCGCGATGGGGTTCGACAGATGGGGTCAAGTGGAGTCTAGGGAGTGAGGGGAAAGAACATCACATGATGCCCACTGTAAACGGTCGTCTTTTCTCAATTCTGTGTCTATTTGAATGGGAGATATCAGATATTTTTTTCACAGTCTATAAGGACAGGGGATTGACTCAAATTCAGTGAAATTCGGTCAAGAATGACCCCAAAAATAAGACCTAGACATGAGGTGCACACGCAGGCCGAGGTGGAAAAAGCGGGCAAAGCGGGCAAAGTGGGCGGCGCTCGGACAGCCGGTGATAGCCGCCCCCATAAACAAAGCAGCCAAGCAGCCAAGCGGCCTCGGTCCGAATGCCCGGCGGTAAAGGGTACTTGTGCTTGTACTGTACCTTAGTTACCTTGCTGAGTATACTCACTGTAACCAGCACAGGGCCACTCCCTCCCTTTCTTAATTCCTTCCTGTTCAATTCTCCGTCTTCTTCCTCCTCCCTTCCTCCTCTACTCCAGTGATCCTGCTACCTACTTAGCTAGTTAGCCCACGCTCATTGTGCAACCCATTGGGTATTTTATTGCCCCCATCCTCTCTCTCGATCGCCTTCTCTCCCATCATGTCTGCCTCCTGTTCAGCGTTGAGACGGCTGACCCACAGGTCTCCTCCCCGCACTTGGCTCTCCTCTTCCCGCATTGCCTCCCTCTCCAGACCTGCTGTCTCCAGTGTCTCCCACATCACTCCCAAAACACATCCATCGACGCTCCCCCGTATTTCTCAATTCTCAACCATGGCGTCCCTGCAGCAAGCTCCTCCTACTATTCCCACCGACCGGCCCTATGATCCCGAAATCCAGGAGCTGAGCAACTACATCCACAACTACAAGGTGGACTCCGACTTGGCGGTAAGTTACGCGGGGCTCCCCATTCCACCATCCACAACTGTTGCTATTCTCCAGTGCGAAGCTGCGTCGCTAACTGCTCCCATCTACATAGTATGACACCGCCCGCCTCGTCTTCCTCGATACCTTGGGATGTGGTCTGGAAGCTTTAAAGTTCAAGGAGTGTACCAAGCTGCTGGGCCCGGTGGTTGAGGGCACCATCGTGCCCAATGGCACCCGCGTTCCCGGCACTCCCTACCAGCTGGACCCCGTCAACGGGGCCTTCAACATCGGCGCCATCATCCGCTGGCTCGACTACAACGACTGCTGGCTGGCGGCGGAATGGGGTCACCCGTCCGACAACCTGGGCGGGATCCTGGCGGTCGCAGACTGGATCTCCCGCACGAACCGGGCCGGCGGCAGCCTCGCCAACGGTAAGATCCTAAAGGTCAAGGATGTGTTGGAGGCGATGATCAAGGCGCACGAGATCCAGGGTGTGTTGGCTCTCGAGAATTCCTTCAACAAGGTCGGGTTGGACCACGTGGTGCTGGTCAAGGTCGCGACCACCGCCGTGGTCGCCAAGATGCTCGGCCTCAGTGAGGAGAAGACCGCCGACGCCATCACCCAGGCATTTGTGGATGGCCAGTCGCTCCGCACGTACAGACACTCCCCCAACACGATGTCGCGGAAGTCCTGGGCCGCGGGTGATGCCTGCCAGCGGGCGGTGAACCTGGTGCTCAAGGTGCAGAAGGGCGAGGGTGGCTTGAAGACGGTTCTGTCGGCCCCGGTCTGGGGCTTCTATGACGTCTTGTTCAAGAGCAAGAAGTTCCAGTTCCAGCGTCCTTACGGCAGCTATGTCATGGAGAATGTTCTGTTCAAGGTGTCTTATCCTGGTAAGTTGTGCCTCTTTGACGGAGGGAGCCTATGCTGACTGGTCTCTAGCTGAGTTCCACTCCCAGACGGCGATCGAGGCTGCGGAGATTGTGAACGCGAAACTCAAGGCTCTGGGCAAGAGCGCTAAGGACATCAAGGAGGTCGTCAACCGCACGCATGAGGCGTGCATCCGGATTATCGACAAGCAGTTCAAGGCGATGGACAACTTTGCTGATCGCGACCACTGCGTTCAGGTAAGCAAGGCCAGGGCGCTGCTATTGTCCGTGTACTGACTGCATTTAGTACATGGTTTCCACCATGTTGGCCTTCAACCGCCTGACTGCCAACGACTACGCGGATGGTTCTGAGGCGGCCACCTCTTCCCTGGTCGAGGACCTGCGCAAACGCATCCGCTGTGTCGAGGACCCTCAGTTCACCGCCGACTACCACGACCCGTCCAAGCGGACCATCGCCAACGCCCTGACCGTCACGTTGAACGATGGCACTGTCCTGGACGAGGTCGTCGTCGAGGCGCCTCTGGGCCACCGGCTGCGTCGGGAAGAGGCCAAGCCCGAGATCTTGGCCAAGTACAAGCGTCACCTGCAGGCGCACTTCGACCAGGCTCGCATCGACGAACTGGTCAAGGTCGGGTTGGACCAGGCGGCTCTCGAGAATTACGACGTGGACAAGTACGTCGATTTGTATGTCAAGGATCAGATGGTGGCAGCCCACTAGGGTAGCATGATTTAGCGAGCATGATTGTTAGATGTAACGAGCAAGATTACACTTATTGCAATGAGCTACAGATTTGTGTAGCCATCAGTTCAACTCCATGTTTCTCTACAGACCTCAACCGGTAGAGCAGATAGCCATGGGCGATAACCAAGGGCACAGTACTGTCAGCCAAGTTGTACAGTCAGTGAACCTGCCACCCACCACACCCTCTCCCATAACTGTACTGCATGAACAAATCCGTCAATAGGCTCAGTATCATATCTCCCGCACGCAGCGATAGGAAATCGGCGATAAGAGCGCCCCCTCCAATCCACCCACGCATCATCCCCGAACTGTGTGTTGCCCACCACAGATCCTACCTCGGTAACGCGATACGAGATAACCTTTTTATCCGTTGAAGGGTCAACCTCCACTTGTAAAGTCACACGCCCCCACTCAAAAACAATCTGGCACACTATCAGCGGGAAGCAAGCCCGGACCTACCCAACCCAAGATAAGCGTACCGTACAAACCGACGTACCCACTCTACCACAGAAACGAAACCTGGGGAAAAACCCAGCCGAGATCTAGTCTAGGCGAGGGGGGGCACTGCAGCTTTGCCGTTTATCTCGGCACGGGAAACAGAGGAAGTTAGGGCAGAGGCTGCGCTAGTAGCGTTGCCGACGCAGCCAATTGCAGGGGAACGCTTACGCTTGGATGATACCTAGTAGTGAGTATGGATTGCGGGCATGGTTATCGCGGGGTCCTGAGGCAGCGAGAAGAGGAGAAGAAGGGGGGTTTGATTGACGCTGGAATACGTGTGCAGGGTCTTGGTATCTTTATCTGTGGCGATTGGGTGGGTTGTACTGTACACTGAACGTAGTAGTTATAAGGAAGGATCCCCTGATGCGACGGCTGTTCTGGGTGGGAGACAGCTCCTCCAGCCCTCTCTACATTTGTGAATTATAGGTCGACTGTTACTGGATCTATATTCCCTTTCTATTGATCTTGATGCAGAAGATGACACCCCCCGCAGACGAGAAGAAACCCCCTTTCGAGATGGGGAAGGAGCTCGAGGGCCGCGCGAGCGTGGAGCATGGCTCGTCGACGGAGTTCTCTGCGGAGGCGGAGAGGAAGTTGGTGAGGAAGATTGATTTGATGTGTGTTTTTCTCTTGGTCTCGTGAAACTAGAAGGGTGGAAGAGGGCCGGAACAATGCTGATGCTGATGCCGGTCCAGGATCTTACCTATCATGCTCGTCGCGTACATGATGTCCTTCATGGACAAACAGACCCTGAGCTATGCGGCCATCATGGGCATCATGGAGGATCTGCGCCTGACGGGCGCGGAGTATAGTTGGTCGTCGGCCATCTTCTACTTTGGATATCTTGCGTTCAGGTTTGTCTGAGCTCTGTGGAAGGGGATTGATTACTACTGACGGCTCAAGCTATCCGGCCTCGTTGCTGATGGTTCGCTTTCCCTTGGGGAAGTATCTGGCCTGCACTTAGTATGTTTTCGCTTCCTCAGAGCCCCGTGGGGGGGGGGGGGGGGTTGGCAATAGCTTACGCGGCGATAACAGCATCGTCTGGGCGATCGTGCTCGCCTGTCACGCGGCCACGACCAACTTCACCGGACTAATGGTCGCCCGGTTCTTCCTGGGCTGCACCGAGGCCAGCGTCTCCCCCGGGTTCAGCCTCCTGACCTCGCTGTGGTATCGCACCGCCGAACAGCCCCTACGTCATGGGATCTGGTTCTGCGGGAACTCGCTGTCCCTGATCATCGGGGGCGCGATTGCCGTGGGGATCTGGCAGATTGAGACCAGTCTGGCTACCTGGAAGGTGAGCGCCCCTCTTCCCCCGCGAACTTATCCCAGCCTACTGACCGGTGTAACCACACTCAGTGGCTATACATCATCTTCGGCCTGGTCACCTTCACCTGGGGCGTGGTCATGCTCTTTCGCCTCCCAGACTCCCCGACGAACGCCACGTTCCTTACCCCGGAGGAGCGAGTCATCGCCATCGCGCGCTTGAAGTCGAACCGCGCCGGATACAAGACGAATCAGATTGACAAGAGCCAGATGGTGGAGGCGTTCACCGATCCCAAGACGTGGTTCCTGGGGGTGTTGATCCTAGGCTGCAATATCCCGAACGGGGGGTACACCACGGTATACTCTCTCTCTCCCAGCCTCAGAGGACCTGCAGCATAATCCAGCTACTAATCTGCTTTGGGCGGTAGTTCTCAGGCCTCATCCTCAAAGGCTTCGGCTACAACACCCTAAACACCCTCCTCCTCGGGATCCCGGGAGGATTCATCTCGTTCCTCGTGGTGCTAGCCTCGTAAGCCCCCGTCCCCGCCCACCCATGCCACTACCCCACAGCCTCAGATGTCTAACAAGAGAAAGATGCTACGCCTCCTCCAAAATCCCCAACAGCCGCTGCACAGTCTCGATCATCCTATCCTGCTCGAGGTACGTCCGCCCAACAACCCCCTAGCATAACCATCCCCATTTCTCCCAGAGCTCACCCCCCAAAGCATTCTAGGCACCGCCCTCGTCTACGCCACGCACCACAACGCCTCGCGCTACGTTGGCCTGATCCTCATGAGCTTCTACGCGGTCACCATGCCCCTGTCCATGGCGCTGATCAGCGCCAACGTCGGCGGCGTGACCAAGCGCAGCACCGTCAGCGCCATCTACTTCATCCTGTACTGCGCGGGAAATATCAT